TGGTTTTGTCATTTTTTTGCACTGATTAGGAATAATATATAAAAAAATAGTGTCTGTGTGTGTGTCCGTGCCACTTTGCATGCAACTTCCGTCATTCTGTCCGGAGGATATCTCGGAAAGGGAAGGTTTTTAAGGTATGTTTGATACGTCATTAGATGCGTAATGGTCTGGAGATGACTGCACCAATATCAGTTTTTACAAATTCAGCTGTTTCCGACATTAAATTTAAGTTTTTGTTGAAAAATCGGGCGGCCTTCTTTGTTAGGAAATAATTAGCATACGCCGGAAGTTGCGGCTGCCTATATATAACCCGAGAGAGTGGCATTTTTTCATTTTTCTCATCGAAAATCGAAAGGCGTATGCAGAGTGAAGAATCTGATAGGGTTGGACGGGGCCAGGGTTGAAAAGTCGCGAAGCGGCTTTTCAACCCTGGTTAGGAATAAAAATGTCGTTTAAAATATAGGGAAGTTAAAATCGAGGCAAGCATAATTAGAAATTAACGCATTACATTGAAAATTGCACTATTTGATAGGTTTTTCGTCTTTACCTTTATTAAACTTTAACAAACTACTTTAAAAATTTTATAAATTCAAATTTAAGGCAAGAATAGTCCCGCTTGCTCATTCATCATTCTCCCACCAAAAATTGGCGAAAAAATAGTGCTAGAAAGCTGTTTTTTTAATTTTATCTCTATTAAGCTGGACATGTTACCCTAAAAAATTAGAAAGGCAAAATCATTGGACATAAATTTTTGTTTTTGCTTTTATTAAACTTTAAACATCACCATAAAAAGTCATAGAACTTCTAAATCATCAAAAAATAATCCCGACAACCCCTATAACCATTCCTGAATCTCCATTCCTCCACTCAAATCCCCGGGGCATATATATTTTCAAAAGCCCAGCTGGGATGGAAGGAATTATTGGTACGAGAGAGACCGGAAAGAACATGGCAATCAGTCAAACTGGCCTAGACTCGATCCCCAGCAAAGAGGGAGAAAAGAAGGAATCGGGACTCGGGAGCCCCAATTTGGTGGAGCGTCCATCTATGCAATAGGAATGGAAGGGAGAGAGCGAATAGAGAGAGAGAGAGTGAGTGAGAGAGGGAGAGTGAGAGAGAGAGAGAGAGAGAGAGAGAGAGAGAGAGAGAGAGAGTGACCGGGCAGTACGACCCGCTCCAAATTAGGCACCATCTATTTTTGGTCGGGGCGAATCCGTTGGCACTCACTCACTCAGGCTCCCCACACCCCACAATGGGCTAATATTTGCATAGTGGTGGTGGCAGGGAAGGAGTTCTCGAGTCACCGAGTGCCAATCAGTATAAAAGGTTTGGCATAGGCTTACGTATTTTCCCTAAGAATCTTTGCTAGTTACCCTTTTTGCTCTCCTTAAATTTTTATGCGACCCGTTAATTTTTATTCTTTTCCTATTAAACTTGATAAATTTCTTTGAATTTTACTAAAATAAGTATGTGTTTGCATAGTGTTTTTTAGCAAAATTGAACTCTATTTTATCCGGAAAAACCTTAGAAAAATTTTTGGATTCTAAAAATTTGTATTTTTTTTGCATTAAAGCAAAATAACGTTATCAAATCAACGATATCCGGAAAATCTCCAACTCTAACCCCCAGTTCCGGTTGTCACCTAAACCATGCAAATACTTATCCATCCCCCCCCCACCCCCGATAAAAACATCCCATCCATGGTGCGCGACGTGGTAGCGCGCTGATTTTATTTCCGCTTGGCTGAATTTTAGGGGGAGGAGGAGGAGGAGGTGGAGGAGGAGGAGAACGCACGCATGAGCACCAGGGTGCTATACTGAAATGCGTATGAAAGAGGAAAAGAGCCCCAACTGGGACGCGCCTCCCCCGTAGATGGTTGTGCATGATTAGGACCCCGGCGTTTTGGGCTGGCTGACTGCCCTTAGGGGAGGATGACCTCCACACTACATCCAGCCATAGCCATTTTCGCGTTTTCTCGTTGATCGATAGCCCTTGGTCCCACAGCTTTCTCTGCACCAGCTTCTCTTCCTCCTTCTCCCCCGCCCTCAACTTCCGGACCCAGACGTTAAATCTCCATTTCTGGAAGAGACCGCCTCGCGCTCATCGAATTTTCGGGGGAGCACCACCATCCTAAAAACATAGAGCTGTTTGTCTGGCCGTTTTTATTCTATTTCTTGTTTTCTTTAGAAAGTACCGAAAAGCTTCTTAAATCTGTTGGTACGCATAAAATCTCAGTATTTTTCTGAATAAAAATTCTTTTAAATAGGTTTTTTCCGGGCTATTTCTGGGTTACAAAATAACTTTGAGTATATTTTTCGCCGCTCTATCGAATAACATCTTCAAAATATCGAAAATGTTGACAATACCAAAAATCGGCCTCCCCGACCCGTCTTGAGCCATAGTTTTTATGCTACAAAGTTTTATATGAAAGTTTTCGAGCTAAAATTAATTCTTTTAATATATTTTTGACGCTCTATCGAGTGATGTTTTCAAAAACGTAAGTTTGGAAATTTGTATCTTACCCAATTTTTGTTTTGTTTAGAAAGTACCCAGAAGCTCACTCCAATCTCTTCCCTCCGCCCTTCCCCCTGACCCTCATCAAAATTCATAGCAGCCTGGGCCATATTTTGTTGCCTTCCCCCCGTTTCCTCCCGAAAACATCTTGGCTCCCCCCAGCCTTTTATATTTATTCCCAACCATATATTCCGCACAGATTCTTGCTTTTACATTTTCCCAATTCTGAACAACAGTCATTCTTACAAAATTTAGCCATTTTTAATCATCTTTTGCATGGGTTACCTTAAAAAGGTCGAAACACGTCACGTCAGAATGCCGAAATTCACCTTCTCTAAAATCCAAATGTCGAATTTCCTAATGTCGAATTTCATGAAGCGGCATTTCAAGAATGGCCAAATATGACAATATCGAAACTTTTCATAATTCGAAAGTTGAAATGCTTAGTGTCGGCATTTCTAATGTTTCAGAATGCCGAAATTTACATAAGCGAGACACCCGAAAAAACCGCAATCCTACGAAAAATTTCGTCATTCTGGAAATTCGACATTCTGAAATGTCGTTGTTATGAATTTCGACATTTTGATAGCAAACCCATCCGTACAGTACCCCCATTCAACCCCCGGAAACATAAATTTTATCAATTTTTCTGAATCATATTTTTCAATAGCTCTCGGCTGACTAAGGCATCGCTCATTCCCAAGATAGTAGGTCAAAAGGATAAGGTTTGTTGGAGAATGTGTTCGGTTTGGTTGCTTTTGTGCTGGGAAGATTGGATGGGGGGTCTCTGGCTGCATAGTGTCCTCATTCTCCTCTCTCAAACCAACTTACAGCTCTTGAAATGCGGTCAACGGTCCCGTTGTCGCCGGGGCTTTTTCGGGCGAGGGTACTAAAGTTTTCTCAGCTAGTCAAGCGTAAGGTTATATGGACTCGATCGGCTGTGGTTCTATGCATTTTAAATTTTGTAGCCATAAATTCGGCACTTTTCGCTTAACGGGGGGGGGGCATTTTCACCTCTACGCCGTCCGGCCCTATAACAAATAAAAACAGTTTTATTACATTTTCTACTTTTTAGATATTAAAGCTATTAAAAAAAACACAATTTATAGATAAAAAAGCTCATTAAAAATTTTAACAATTTCTTAACATTTGCTTTTTGTTCAAGAATGTCTGAAAAATGACAAAACTCAAACTTTCGAATTTCCCAAATTTTAATTTTTGCAACTTTTTAGGGATCAAAAACTAATATAACATTTGGAAAATACGCTATTTATTATTAACCGCTGGGTATAGGCGAAAAAAAGAAAATTACCCCCTCGGTTGAATCACAAGTACCGAAAATGTCATCTTTGATTGCTGCGGGTGCCCGGTTAGACGGAGAAAAAGCAAACAAACTCCCCTCGTTCCTTCCTTTGCCACAGTTCACTTCACACTTTCCAAAATATCACCTTTTCGACGGATAAACCCTCAATTTTCTCTACTAAATTAATTCTACTAATTTTCAGAATAGGTTACTACATTTAAACCCCGCTTTTCAGTTAAATTTACCACTTTTCCAAACTAATTTTCCGATCTAATTTAACCCAAACTCTATTTGCGGAAACCCGCAGACGCCGGAACAGACGAAAACGAAAGAAAACCTCAACTTCTCCATCCAGCATTCTCTCCCAGATTACTGCCCCTCCCCATCTTTTTCACGGCTCATATTCATTTTGGAGCCTCACCCCCTTGGCTCATCGGATAGGCAAATAGACCCCTCAACGCTTTGACTTGCCAGCTGACCAATCCCTCGAATTCGCCATTCGAAGCCCGTAAAAATCATTTGCCATCCGAATATCGAATTTTGCAATTTTGGACGTTCCCAGAGTAAAATCTAAACCGTTTTATAAAATTTTATACCGTTTGTAGATAAAAAGTTCATAAAAACTATGAATTTTTCATAAATTTTCGAATTTTTGGTCATAAAATGTATGAAAATGAGCGACAAACTTTTAAACTTTCCGTTTCAGGCACCCATACCCTCGAGCAGAAACGAAAGAAGGAGAAGAGCTATCTGAAGTTTACCCGTGGCCCCGATCGGGCCAGTATTCGATCGATTACATCGAAGAAAAGGTGAGCAGAATTTTTTATATCATATACCTAGCTCTTAGAATCTCTTAAAATTTTTGAAAAATTGCTTTTTGGACCCGCCACAAATTAAAAGTGTATTTGGTGGTATTCCGTAGCGTCTACATGCTCGGCCTAAGCATCTGTCTTCCTCCGTGACGCACTAAAAATGGCAGTAATTTTAAATTTCCAACCTTTGGTGCGCCTTCAACAGATAAAAGGATCGTGCGGACCACGATAACTCTATTTTTTTACCGTCTAGGTCCGTCAAAGGAAGACGATAAAAATACCTCACCTTGGGCACCATAAACTTGCATTATTTTAAATTTTAAATTTTATTATTTCCAATCCCTCATCGAAGTTTATTTAGTATCGAAACGATGATGACGGCCACCGCCGGGCCATCGGATATGCCAGATCCGGAGATCGTGCTCGAGCGGTTTGAGAAACTTCTTTGCAAGGTAGGTAATGTTGATTTTTGGTACACTGGGGGCATTCTGGGCACGCTCCAAACTTCGTTTTTAAACTCTAAACTTTGACTCTCATTTTTTAGAATGGCTTCAACCTGGCCCCGGAAAAACTGCGCGACATGCGCGACATGCCCGTCGAAAAAAAGTGGCAGGTGCTGAGGAACCAAGATGAGGTAAGGATTTAATTAAATTAAGCTGAATTATTTTACATTCAATCAAATTAAATGCACAAATGTTGCTTTAGACGCCTAGCGAAAGCGAGTCGAAGAGCCCGGCCTACTACCTCAGCCACCTGAGCACGTGCTCCGACTGGAAATCGCTGAAAAAAGTGGGAAACTGTGGAAAATTTTTTATATATGTTTAGAGCCTTAAAAAGACAGATGGCAGCTCAGCTTTGTCGATGCTCAAACGGATGGAGATTTCTCTGCGCACGAACACTGTCGAGTAGGTTATAATAACGGTCCTTTTCTTTTAACGGGGGAGCCAAATTTACGACAATCCGTACGCCCAGTAGAGTAATAAAATATAGCAATTTACCCAGTTTTTAAATATGAAAAACACTTAACTTAATTGTAGGACATTTCAAAAGGCAGAAGAAGTCAAAAGTAAATTTTTAATTTTTTTTTTGTTGCTTTTTAGCGATGAAATTTACTCCAAAAATGCTGAAAATACACTATTTATTTTTAAGGAGTAAGTATTGGCGGAAAAGCAAAAATTAGCTTCTGCCGGAGAACCCCCCCAATAAGATACAAGATCCATAATATCTCTTAACTTTAAAATGTAACGTTTCAGATGGGTCTACACATTCCTCGATCCTCCACACAATGGGCTCAAAGTACTGGTCGATTACATGGATTGCCTGCTCGCTGAAGCCTCTGAGTAAGCCAGTGCTTCAATTCAACCTGATACCGCTGATTTTAGCCTCCCCAAAGCCCCAGCTGAGCCCGAGACTCCGCACAAGATGAGCAAGAGCGAGCTGAAGCTCAAAGAGTAAGCACAGCAAGTGAATGGACGCAAATTGTTTGTGTAATTTTTAGAAAAGGGGCCATGCTGTTCGAGGAACTGCACGCTTGTATTTGTTGTTTCCGGGCTGTAATGAACAATAAGGTAATTTATTTTGAACGGATTTCAATATTAAGTAATTTTAGAAAGGGTTGCACAGTGTATTTGAAATGCCACAGTCTATTTATCAAATGGTTCGGACGATTCCGCACAGTAATTTGAGGTAAGTCGGATCGGTTCTTTTCTTTTAACGGGGGAGTCGTTATAACTTCCTAGCACTCAATAACTACTAAAAAGACTATAGAACTATATTTTCTATTACTAATGGACGGAAAAGGATGGCTGCCACCCCTCGTTAAATGATAGGAACCCAATTACGTTTCAGGACCAAAACCCTTATCGTCCAAATGTTGGCCACGATTTGCTTGGTGCATGGTGGGCAGGAACTTGTTGATGTTGCCTTCGAACGTTTCCAAAAGGTTCCAATCATGCCAAGAATTCTATTATCAAACCGCTTTTAGGATCACCACGAGTCCAAGAAGTTCGAAGGATTGTGTGACATCATCAGAAACCCAGGCGAATATAATGTGGAATTCTTGTGTTCGGCAATCCAATTTCTGAATGGTAGGGTCGAGAGAAAGAGAGAGCGAGAGAGAGATAGAGACAGAGAAAGAGAGTGATCGAGAGTGAGAGAGAAAGGGAGAACGAGCGCGAGAGACAGAGAGATATGCAGACGTAATTATGAATTTTAGTGTTCATCAACTGTTCGGACGACTTCAATCAGCGCGTGCATTTTCATTTTCACTTCAAACTCCTGGGAATTGAGGATTTCATCGAGGTAAATTTAGCGTTTCTGTTTATATCGTTGGAAATAGAGAGGGGCGAGAGACAGAGAGACAGATAGAGAGAGAGAGAGAGAGAGAGAGAAGAGAGAAAGAGAGAATGAGAGAGAGGTAGAAAGAGGGAGAGAGAGATGAGAAAGGGAGGGAGAAAGAGCGAGGGGGGAGGGAGAGGTAGAGAGAGAGAGAGAGAGAGAGAGAGAGAGAGAGAGAGATGAGAGAGAGGGAGAAAGTGGGAGAGAGATGAGAGAGAAAGAGGGAGAAAGATGGAGAGAGATGAGAAAGAGAGAGAAAGAGAGAGAGAGAGAGAGAGAGAGAGAGAGAGGGGAGAAAGATGAGAGAGAGGGAGAAAGTGGGAGAGAGATGAGAGAGAAAGAGAGAGAAAGAGGGAGAAAGATGGAGAGAGATGAGAAAGAGAGAGATGAGAAAGAGAGAGAAAGAGAGAGAGAGATAGAGAGAGAGAGAGAGAGAGAGAGAGAGAGATATGAGAGAGGGAGAAAGAGGGAGTGAGAGATGAGAGAGAGGGGGAGAGGGAGAAAGATGGAGAGAGATGAGAAAGAGAGAGAAAGAGAGAGAGAGATAGAGAGAGAGAGAGAGAGAGAGAGAGAGAGAGAGAGATATGAGAGAGGGAGAAAGAGGGAGTGAGAGATGAGAGAGAGAGAGGGGGAGAGGGAGAGAGAGGGAGAGCTATTCTAGTTTTCTGGGCTTCATTTAACTTCTTTTTGTAGAGCCAACGGGATAGCGCCTCAGAAGAACTTCAAGCTAAACTTGCCGCTTATGATGAATCAATTATCGAAGTCGGACAATTGTTGGATGATCGTAGAGACAAAGAGGAATATATGGAAGAGAAGAAGAAACTGGAGGAACAGCTTTCCAGCGTCCGCGAGCAAAAGCAAGAGCTTGAATCGATCATCATTGCCGATAGAAATACCCTCAACAATACGATCAAGTTTGTTTAGGCTTGAAATCTATATTTTTTTTCAGGAAACTGATTATCGAGCGCGACCAGATTGAGGCTCAGTATGAGAAGGACAAGGGTTCTTGGCAGAAGACGTTATGTGAGTGAATTAAGTCAGCTTTTCATACGTAATTTTAGCTGAGAAAGACCGTGAGGCAATGACGCTAGAGAAGAAACTGAATCAACGAATTCAAGAGCTAGAGAACCTCCAGAAGCAGCAAGGTATCATCTACCTTTCTTCCCAAACAACTTTTTTAGCTGGCCCGAAAGCTCCTCCAACTCCTCCCCCACCTGCCCCGGGCCCACATCGAAGCCCCGATGAAGAGGCCACCCCTGAAGCTCCCGTAGCTGCAACTCCACCGCCAACTACTACTCAGCTGCCCCCTGTTGCTCCCCCACCAGCTGCAGCTCCTCCTCCTCCGCCTCCACCACCTCCTCCCCCTCCGCCACCTCCTCCGCCACCACCTCCAATGGCTGCTCCCCGTGGAGGACCACCTCCACCTCCTCCTCCCCCATCAGAGCTGGGGCCAGCCTCGAATGATGTGGTCCAAATGAAAAAGGCCTTCCACACCAAGAACGATCTGCGGTGTCTCAATTGGAATCCAATGATGCCGAACCAGGCTAAAGATACTGTTTTTGCCCAGCTCAACGATGATGCGCTTATTGAGGTATTGTGGCGCAACAAATCTGTAAAAAAAAATTTAGAAACTGAACTTCTCGGCATTGGAAGAGCACTTTATGGTTGCTAGCAATCCCAACAAGGTGAGGTTTCGCAAAAATTGGATTTATTTTTGTGCGCATTTTTGGTGAGAATCGATTTTCGTGTGCAGAATTATGCGCTAATTCCGAACCAGTTGACGAAAAGCACAGATTAAAAAAGTTATAACGTAAGAAAAAGTCTCGAAATTGGGCCAATTTATGTCTTTTTCGCAGTTTAAAACCTTCATAACTTTTTCAGACGAATCGTTTTAGCAAATTTGAAAACAGATTCGGGATCAGCGCAAAATTCTGGATAAGATAGACCACTTATAAAAATATATCCTTCTAGAAAGCTCCCGCATCTCGCGATCGAAGCCCCGGTTCCAGTGGCAGTCAACAGAATGCATCCACCCTCGACAGAAATCGCCAGCAACAAATTTGTAAGTATCGGAAGCATCGAAAATTGAACACTTTTTCCAGTGCTTGTCAAACGCGCCCTTCCAAGCGCTGATGATATCATGAGCGCCGTCCATCTTTACGATATGAATGTGTTGGGCGTCGAGGAAATTGAGAAGATCCTTTCCATCCTGCCGACCCCGGAGGAGAAGAGCAAAATTGACGATCTCAAAGCGCGCAATCTGTTCGACAGCTTGCCCCAGGCGGTGAGTAGTCATTGCCTACGTCATTTCGGGTCAAGGTTGCTTTACGGGGGGTGGAGATTTATACTGGCTTATACCCGTCATTTTTCGGGACCGTTGGCATTTTGTTGGCATTTTGTGTATGCCATTCGATAGATAATCCAAAAATCTACTAGATTTTTAATTTCGGCTCATGATAACTTAAAGGGATAAAAATTAAATTATTTATGAAACTTAAAATATAAATTAGTTATTAAATTGTAGATTTTTTTATATAGGAGTTTTTAGGACCGGTACATCTCTCAGCTTGGGGATATCGAGAGGATCCAGGCGAAGCTGCGCTGGATGCAGTTTATTCACGAGTTCCCGCCTTTACTTTCTGCTCTCTCATCGGTGAGATCACCTGCGATTGAGTGACACCCGTTTCAGGATCTCTCAAAGCTCCAAACAGCATCGGCTTCTCTACACCAATGCAAAGGATTTCATAAAGTGTTGGAGGTACGGTAATGGTGGCTCGGTGTAGATTTTCGTTGTGGAACTGGACGGTTAGCGGGGGGGTGAAGGGGATAAATAATTTCCTTTCATTTTCCTTACAGCGAAAAACAAAACATGTTATATAGCTTTTTACACAGTTTTTAAATATAAAAAGCAATTTCAAATTCTTTAAGCTTTTGAAAATTTCGAAAAATTACTAAAAATTTTTTTATTTTGTTACGACTTTCTAGCAATCAAAAACTATTAAAAAGACTATAAAATGTCGGTATATACTAGTAGGAACAGCTTGGAAAAAAGGTGGCAGAAAAATTCCTTCCCCCGCTAACAGTAAAGTACCTTCCTTTTTAGGTCGTGCTCGCCTATGGCAATTATTTGAATGGCGGAAAACGCGGAAGTGTTTACGGCTTCAAGCTGTCTTCGTTGGATGAAGTGTGCAGCATGCATTCGCGTGATAAGAGCGTGCAACTCATGAACATCCTCTACGACGAGATCGAAAAGAACTGGCCCACAGCCCTGAAATTCACCGAGGAGCTCAAGCCGACCGCTGACGCAACGAAAAGTACAGACACTGCTTTGTCTCAATTTACTTATACTTTTTAGTTGAACTGGATATAATCCGGAGCGAAGTGAAGCGCCTCGTCACACAGTGGAACCAAGTCAAAATGGAGCGCACGACGAAGGGTGATGAATGCCCGGAGAATTTGCGAAAGTTTGTCGATGAAAATGGGCCGTCAATTGTCAAGTTGGAGGAGGACACGCAGAAGGCTATTGTGGGTATATTAATGATATAGTGCTTCTTGTGCATTACCGTGGGGGGGGGGCTTTTTCTTAGGATCGAATTTTTTATAGAGAAATGGTTTCTAAACTGTTTCTACGATTCCTAAGCGTAACAAAGCGCAAAATCTTGCCAACTTTTAGTAAAAATTACAAAAAAAAACAGTTTTTTTGTCTAAAGTGGCCGATTTTAGAGTAAACTTATATACTAATAAAAAAAGTTTCTTGTTTTTTGCGCATAATATACTCACATTTTGCTACAAACATTAAAAAAGCTTTTTAATATTTTACTAGGCTTTCTAGACCTGTAGCAAGGATTATTTTGCCCCCTCCCCCTGATAATCCAAAAGAACCGGTGCCGTAACCTCCCTTTATATAAAGCTTTTTACTTTTTAGAGGTTTTTCCATTTTAAATATCGCTAGATAAACTAAACACGGTATTAAAATAGTTACTAGGAAGTTATTGGGCATGTTTTGTACTTATATAAAGCCTATTCATTCCACCCCCGATATTGCAAAAGCACCGAGATAATCCGATTTTCAGAAAGCCTACGAAGACGTGGTCAACTTCTATGGCGATAGCCTGAAGACAACCAGCCCAGCGGCCTTTTTCGGTCGAATCGTCAAGTTCTCGCGAAGTTTCACTGATGCTGGAGAGGAGAAGAAGAGGCAGGAGGCGGCGAAGAAGAAAGCGGAAGAACAGGCGCACGAGGAGCGCGGCCGTCCGAACGGGTTGAAGAAGGGCATGGTGGGTTGTGTTAACTCGATTAAACGGATTAAAGTAAAAATTTAAGTGTTAAAACACCGAGAAAAGTAACAAAAGGATTTCAACCTTATTTCGTCGCCAAAAAAATTGTTTTGCAATGAAAATGCTCGTTATATGTTAGAAAGAAGTTAAATTGATCTGCCCAAAATTGCTTTTCGGACCTCCTGGAATTATATGTCGTAATACTCTAGAAGCCGCTCCACTTCTGAAAAACTGGAAAAACTAAGATAATTAAATTACCTGAGGATTCTGGGGACGGCCTAATAATTTTAAAATTTCACGCCAAAACCGGGGCAATTTTCAGGTTCTTAACGGTTGTAATTTTTTGAAATTTTTAGAATTCTGTGATGGGTGAACTGGCAGCTCGGCTTGGAACGAAAAACGAAAAACGCGACTCCCGCCTCGACATCAAGAGCGTACAGCATGGCGACTTCGACAAACTGCTACAAGGTGGCGCTGGGTTGACATTCGATTCCAAGTGCTTCTTTTCCAGGCCTCAACACTTCGCCCTACGTGCCAGAAGGGGTTCGCCGGAAGGGTCGCTCATCGTCACGCCCTTCAGGTTTGGCGTATTTCATAGTGGAAAATGGGGGTAAAGGCCGCTTAACGGGGGTTTTGCATTTTAAAAAGTTTATTTTAAGACATAGATCGCTTCAAAATTGCCATCGGATAGAGCACCAAAAATATGCCAAACTATTTAATTTTAACGCGAAAACGTGAACTTACATTTTCAGCTAATAAAATAATTATTATAATTTTAAATTAAAGTATTTCGGATTTAAATTGAATCTGTTAGTATATTTTTTTCATTCCTTATTCTATGGTGTTCATGAAATCTCGAGAAAATCCCGTAATGCCGAAAATCGCCGGCGCGCGTCAGAAAAATGTATATTTTTGGTTCTTAACAATTAATTTCGATTATATTCTAATTGAGGCTCAAATTAAATAGCTTAATATTTTGAATAGCCTAATTATACAAAAAAACCAGTGGAAAAAGGTTAGCTTCGCGGCCATTTTCCACTGGATCCCGTCCAGGAATCATGAATTTGAATACCTTCTTCTTTTAGCCTGCGGCGCAAGAACCTGAGTAATGGCGCCCATCTTTGGTCTGCGGCTCTAGAGTCAGCGTTGCGCTAGAATCTTTGACTCTGCGGCGCTAGTTACTGGTTTTTCTCCAGGATTGGGCCTGCGGCCTGGCCTGGGGCCTGGATCAAGGGCCCATCCTTGGCTGCGGCGCGAGAGCCTGGACCAGGGGCCTTTTCTTTCGCCTGCGGCGCTAGAGCGAGGCCGAGGCCTAAACCTCGCACACCGATAGCCTAGAAATATGTTTAGTTGCTAAACTACCAAAATGCAAAAAGTTGGATTTGCCCAGGATCCGAACCCATGACTATAGGCGTGGTAGGCCGGGCGTAAATCCATTACACCACGGGGTAGATGGGAGACACGGCTGGAAAGCCCTCTTCTGTTCCGGGTAGACCGGGGGGAGCCACAGAAAAGGCGACCCAATGCCCCGGGAACGTAAAATTAAACTTTTGAGTCTGAATCTGCAGAAGATTTGTAAAGGGAATAAGATGCGCGTGATCCCCACTATCGAATACATAACTGGTCCAAATTTCAACCCGAAATTCCAAATGCGAATCGAGTTATGCCCCGAACACCATGGCCGGTCGCCCATTTTGTTAAGGATTTTTACTATTTTGCGTGTAAAAGTGTTAAATAAAGGAATTTCGGAAAACAAAAAAAAATGCGTTTTTGGCGAATCTGGTTCTCCACCTCCATGCCAAAAATCAGCTCGAAATTCGGCCTGACGGCCGAGAAAACGGCCGTGCAGAAAACAAACATACTTTTCTCGCTTATAGGATAGGAAATGCCGAAAAACGCCGAAAATCCCCGAAAACTACTTATCCGACCTGCTGATCGAACAAAACCGGCGATTTTTGTCGACCAAAATCGAAGCTTACTGACGTCTTTCGGGCGAAAATTAAATCTCTGAGCATAATTTCCGTTCTATTCGATGGCTGGCTTGCAAAGGAATAAAAAAAGGGGCATTAGGCAATATTAGCTCCCATCCCACGTTAAACAACAAATACCGGAAACAGCTTTTCAGCCAATCGGGTAGCGCCGAAGCCGGTGTTGGTCGACGACGATCGGGAACGCCATTGAATGTAGAAATATTCGACGTTGTAATTTTCCGCTGCAAGCGTTCGCCCCGGGTCATGATGCCAAACCATAATATGATGATGCCTTTGATTTCACCACTTTGCACCGCCAATTCACGTTGTATGCCGTTTTTCGATTGATTTTTTGGCACTGGACTGTTAGCTTTTTGCCAGTAACCTCGTACGGTCGCACAACAACATATAAACCAATTTTACAGGATTTTAAGCAGTTTTTACGTAAAAAAAACATCATAAAAACTACAAAAATTTCGAAAATTCTGGACTTTTTAGTGAAAAATGAAGCAAAAATGATCAAAATAACCCAAAGTTTCAAAAATTCTAGCATTTAAAAACTATTAAAGATTATATATTTAAAAGCCAAGAATTATCCCCCCGCTAACAGTCCAGCGCCCATTTTTCCTGCTTCTTGCTCGCCTGTTAAGCGAGATACGGTCGTCCTTTCGTTTTCCGGTGATATCTCCATTGCTTGCCAACGCCCGCAGTTGTAATATCTTGCAACGAAACATTCAAACAATCTGCCTTTTAACAAATGCTTTTCAACGGTTCCCCTCTAGAATCCATTTAGATTTTTCAACCCGTTTTTCTGGTGAAATACGCCGTGAGAGATTAATAAAGCTTGTCATTTCTTCCAGCATTCGATTACAGGAAAAATACGCAACCATCTTTTACACACAATTATAGCCAAGCCGCCAAGAAGTCGATAGCAAAATACCCCTTTTAAACCGTCGCCTCGTGTAGAAAGTCGCCGCGAAAATTTGACGCTAACTATTGGCTTTTCCGCGGCGCTGCAAAACACTTGATCCGCTCACACAGCATTCGGCGCTTATTCCACAACTCTTCATCTGTATGTGCTTTTGTATCATTTGTGTGTTCTTGCTGCAAAAAGCCTTTATTCTGTCAAACTGCCATCATTTGCCTTTGTGATTGTTTGGAAGGTCGGCTTGTGGACGAGCAAGCAGCGGGCGGCGCGTAGTAGACCGAACCGACATGTGACAGCAGCAATGGGAGGACACGTACTGCAAAGGACAATAAAATATAAATCCACAATAAATGTGTATGCCAAAAACCACGGAAAATTTTACCCGGTACTGGACTGTTAGCAGGGGGATTTTCATCAACCGGCAGTTAATTTTTTTAGTAATCGATTGCGTCCATATAACAGCCAATATCCCATTTTACCGCGTTTTACACAGTTTTTGGATCTAAAAAGTTCGTAGAAAACTTGTAGAAGATCTTTTTCGTAAAAAAAATGTATGAAAAATCGCTAAAAAGGTCAAAAGTTTCGTCAAAAGTATTTTTTGTATCTTATTGCTAACAAAAACTACGAAAAACATTAGAAAAAAACGCTATTTATCGACTAACAGGCAGGCGGTAGAACAAGAATAATTTTTCTTTTTCAAACCCCCTGCTAACAGTCCAGTACCAATTTCATTATCTAACCGTTAATACAACAGTATCAAGCGGTTGCAAACCCACTTTCCACAGCATGCTGGCGACGGCCAGGCAGGGGGGGGGGGCGGGGCGAGGAGGCTGGCGCGAAACGAGGGCGCCTCGGGGCACGCGTTGAAATAAGAGATGCCCACACCGGAGCAGGAAGGCCAATTTCGGGTCTGAAAATGATAATAAATGTGCATGCCAAAAAACCCGGAAAAATTTAACTGGTACTGGATTGTTAGCAGGAGGGTTTTTAGCAAGCGGCCGTTAATTTTGCACTATAGTCTATTACGGTCCTATAAAAAACAATATCCCATTTTATCGCATTTTCCACAGTTTTTGGATATGAAAAGCTCGTAAAAACTTGAATATTACACTTTTTTCGTGAAAAATGTATGAAAAATCGCTAAAAAGCTCAAAAGTTTCGAATTTTACAAAATATTTAAAGTATTTTTGTAACTTATTGGTAAGAAAAACTACGAAAAGCATTAGAAAAAACGCTATTTATCGACAAACAGGCAGGCGGTAGAATAAGAATAATTTTTCTTTTTCAAACCCCCTGCTAACAGTCCAGTACCAATTTCATTATCTAACCGTTGATACAACAGTATCAAGCGGTATCAAACCCACGATAAACAAGTCGCCGAGGATGGTGTGCAGGTAGGGGGAGACGGAAGAGAGCGAGACGACAATCATGAGTTTGCTAAAAAGGCGCTACTATTAAACCGCAAAAAAAGATCATACCTGTAAATTTGGTGGAATTCGGGCGGTATTGATGTACTGAGAAAGCCGACAACCTGCAAACGACAATAAAATATTTGGCCACAATAAAAGCTTGCACTTAAAATAACCGAAAAATTCAACTATATGAACCCCCACTGCATCCAGGATTTTTCCTACTCTCCTAGAGCTCAAAAGCTACAAGCAACACCATCCAGCTGGTGTGGCAGTGTTTTTGCCGATTTAAGTTAATTTACGCAAATGATAATTTAACATCGTTGCTATTTATTCATTATTATACAGTTTATGCTCCTAATCAATTCTGAAATTTGAAAAACTTTTGTAAAAAAAGTGGGTAATTTGGTCTTTTTGGGTCGACAAAAATCGATTATTCTCCCATAAATTGAACTTTTAACGAAATTGATAATGTTTTTATGCATAGTAATGGTTCAAGGCGATTTACGCTATTTATAAAAACTGTAGGCTAGCGTCGAAAATTTGGTCCCCCACCCCCAATCATACAGACCCCAAAATGGTTGAGCCGCCTACAAACTAGCATCCTCCAACGCCGACAAACTAGCAACCCCTAATACAGCCGCTACAAAGAGCTTCATACCTAATTGTCGGGCTTAGGCTCGCAGCCGTCCTTGGGAACCTGCTTAGCCGGGCGTCCACGCGAAAGGCGACGGACAAAGGCAGGCACCCGAGGCTCGACCGCAGTCTCGGCCGCACGCCCAGAAGAAGCGGCCGGCGGGAGACCGCGCCCGCTCCTCAGGGCAACGGTTGGCGTGGCGGGAGGCTGGGCGCGGTTCACGTTCAGCACTTCGACCTGGAATGATGGCTACCGATAAAGCATACAGCAACCAATTATCAAAATCGAGCTACACCCCAACAATTTTCTGGTTTCTATCAAGTGGTCCCTTTTGTACCGGCAAGAACTCCCCAATGTTGTCCATCTCCCCAAAAAAAAAATCAAAAATCAAATCTAAAAAATCCTCCCCGAATTTCCAAAAAAAATTCTGATTTTGGATAATGTTCACTTTTGAAATAAAGTCAAATTTGGTTTTTTTTGCATTATCGGGGGGGTCTAGCAAGGGTGAGCAGACTTTTAAGTCCAGAAATGCCTGGTAACTTGAAGGTAGTATTTTAGGAGTGTTTTGAGTAAAATTTAACCATATTTCAGGTGAAAAAACAATGTTAAAAAACTTGACAATTTTGGTTCAAAATCGGGAATTTTTTGGTGGGCAAATAAATGGTAAGTATTTTAGTATTTTTTTTTAATTGATAAAGGTTTTTGCGTTTAGGGATAGTAAAACACAGTCTAGAACACTTTCTCCGTTTTTATTACAAAAATTGGGTTTTTAGAAAAAATTAGTTACGAGGCATTTCGAGAATTTTCGGGAAAAATTCGGAACCGGGAATAATCCCCCCAAGCTTCCTGTTCTACAAAAAAAAAATAATTTTCTCACCTCGCCGACGATTTGGGAAACAATCAATTTGCCACCGGACACGAAGAAGAACAAGTTAATGGGCCTAGAAAAGCAAATACGATGGTTATAACAAGCAGTTAATACCGGGAAGAATAAAGGAAGATTTTAAAAAACCTACGGTTGGCCAGCAACGGCATTGAGTGCGGCAATCCTATCCGGATCCATCTTTAAAAAACAGCAATATATGATTAACGATAGTATCGCCAAAATCATATTTTTGTTAGTTTAATTGGATGCTGGATGCGCCTGGGAAAGTTGCCTCACCACGCAACTCTCCACGCAACACGTCCGTACGCGTGTACGTTGCGCTGGTGAGATCACCGGTTTACCGCCAAATTAAAGTGGCTTTAACTTTAAGAAGCGGTTAAAGACCCAATCATTCTTTCTTTGGATTGTGTGTGTTTTTGCGGTTGTCGGATAACGCTACAGTATACTTCAACAGAATTAATCCCGCTTATTTCTGTAAATCAGATTTCTTTACCTTCCCTTGTCTGATTTTATTGCTAAATTCGAATACTTCGGCAGAAACCAAGCAATCATGATGCAAGGGCCATTATCAAGAAAGCCGGTTCTTTCGCATTAGCGGGGGGGGCAGCGAACTTTTGGTACAAGTCCAGAAATGCCTAGTAGTAACTAGTAACTTAATAGAAAGCGTTTTGATAGTGTTTTTAGTAAAATATTCTTATATACTTAAACTAGAAAAACTATCTAAACAATCCCAAAAAATTTGAAGAAGTCGCAATTTTGGTCAAGAAAATTGTATATTTGATATTTTTAATGGAAATTAATAGAGTTTGCATGCTTAGGAATATTAAAAAGCTTAGAAACACTTCCACTATTTATATTGGAAAATTGAATCCCAAGAAACAGCTGGTCCCCCAGATAATGCGAAAGACCCGCGATGTTGAAGTCTAGATCTTTCAAAAATATCCTAAGAAAAATTGTTTCAATGTTTTTACTAAGGTAAACGTTGCTTAACAGGGCGGGACCAAATAACGAACGAAAAGTGTACTAATAGATTTTACTTCATTTCAAATTTGCTTTTCACTAATTCCCGGCCCCAATCGAGGCGGCTCGGAGCCGTTCGAACGGCGCGAAAACGCTGCGGTCCGAGGCTTGTGTCGCATCCTTCGGCCTTGGGTCTTCCATCTGCATCCGTTGTCGATCGGCATCCGCAGCTCGCACCCTCCCATTGAAGCCACATCTGTCGTGTCGCGAGTGTCGGACCGCAGCGTCTCGAAACCGCTCGATCAGGCTCGAGGCCAAATCGATCAGGCCGGGCGGGCCCTCATCAAAGATAAGTGCTGCTTTTGTAACCCCGTTCATAGCAGTGAGTCAAAAAAATCCAAAATGTTAGCGGGGGCGAACTAATTTTTGCTTTTCCGCCTATACTTGTTAATAATAAATGATGAATTGTTATGTTTTTAATAGTTTTGATTGCTAGAAACGAAAAATATTGAAAGGATTTGAAAATTTGAAAGTATTACTGGCTTTTTTGACACAATTTTAGCCAAAAAATCAAAAATTCTCGAAAATGTTGATCATTTTTATGCGTTTGTTATTTCTAAAAATTCTCGAAAACTGCTCGAAAAATCGTTTATACTTTGATTAAGGGCCGTGCAGGATTACTGGGGGAAAAATTAGATCCCGCTGCTAACAGTTCAATACTCAAAAGCTTAATAGGTTCGGCCACGGGCAAAATCGAACGGTTTTGCGACTGGCAACGCGTCCATTGGGCCCTTCTGCGTTGCGGGGCACGTCGATCGGCATCTCTTGTCCATCCGCGTCTTCAGCCCATCGTGTCCATCGAAGCCACATCCCTCGTCATCGCCATTGTCGCAAAACCGCTCGATTAGGCCCAAGGCCGAGGCCCACCCACCAACCAAAGGTTATGGTTTTAATCTGCCAATAAAGACCTAGTTTATAATTTGTGTATAATTCTTGTCTACGTCTTTCTTTTGTTGCCTTAGCAAGCGCGGCCCCGAAAAACCATGTAAATTAAAATGGGGATAGACCGGGTGGGTGTGGCCGTTCGATCGGTGCCAGATGACTTGTGGTCCGGCACCTTGACACCTGTCCTGTTCTTCCAATCGAAGCTTGACTGCTTCTGGCGGCCCATCTTTGCGCAGCAGTAGTTGACCAGTTCCATCGACCATTCGCCCAGCACATCAGCCACCATCGGTGCCGGACCGCAAGTCGTGGAACCCACCGATCAGGCCCCACCCAGTCTTTCCCATCCCAGCGAATAATCAGGCCGATTTGAGTAGCTAATTATCAGTCTAGTTTAAAAAATTACATCTAATTAAAAATTTGGAAGACCTAATTAGAATGCGAAAACGGAAAGAAAACTAACTGAGTAGCGAGATGCGAACGGGCCCGGGAGGGTAATTGGTTGAGAATGATTTCCCGACGATAATTTCGCGCACATTACCGGGGCCGGAGATGTAAATTATGCTAATATCAGGCACCACTTCCGGAATTAGTTGCCCTTTGTAGTGAGTGAGTGCTAAGCGCATCATCTCTATCGTTACCAACAGTGTTTATTATATCATTAGAAACGCGTATTTGATTTGCGGCACAGAAAGCCGATAATAATACTCATTTTTCTAAAATGTTCGATAAACTAGAGCTCAGCCGCGCCTAAATAGTGCTTTGCGAGAAAACCTCCAACAACTTCGCCTTTTAAAAAGGGTGGGCCAAGCGTGACATACCCGCCTAAAAGCAATGGCAAGTTCTGCGGGGCCAAACGAAGCAGGGATTTGATACACTCGCCAATATAGCGTTTTATACACCAAACAAAGGCTAGTTGAAAAGTTAAACTTGCCTTAGAGGCCGCCATTAAATCAACCATCCATCCATCCAAAACCCGACCACTGCGCTGCTTCGTGCAATATTTCAAGAACATTTATTCTGTGCATCATCATACAACCAAAAAGAATTAAAAGTTTATCTATTAGTAGCACTCTCCACAAGGTGAGACCGGTTTGTAACGGGGGTTCTATTTGCGAGATGCGAAGACCTCCTTCATCCTGTTGAGGGCCGAGCCGGATTTGAACCTAAAACGAAAAAGTTATGAAGAGTGTGAAAGAACGGCATACCATTCGATCTGCTGCTCGTTGAAAGTATGATTGAGCCAGATGTCGATCTTCTCCCCGCTGGGCTTCTTGATAACTGCCTTCAATGGTTTGCCGGGGGCGAAATCCTAAAACACAACATTGAACATGAACAGAAGCCAAGACCAAGGAAAAAGCTAACCACATTTGATAACAAACACACCTTCAGTCCAACAATGCTGATACGGTCAGCAGGGTCAATCTTGTCGTAATCGGAAGCTTGAGAGAAGGTCAACGGGAGCATGCCTTGCTTCTTCAAGTTCGTTTCTAAAAAAACGTCTGAGCAAATTCTAGTATAATACCATGAATACGGGCGAAGCTCTTGGTGATGATCGCACGACCGCCCAAGTGGCGAGGCTCGAGAGCGGCGTGTTCGCGAGAGGATCCCTCGCCATAGTTTTCATCACCGATCGCCACCCATGGCTAAAAGCAGCAAGAATTCACCGACGTAGTTTCTTTTTTACCTGACCAGCCGCCTTCAGCGCACGTGCCGTATCCGGGACAGCGCCATAGACGCCAGTCAGCTGATTTTTGACCTAAAAATACATAAGTACAACGCGCAAGAGACAAACCTTATTCATTTCTCCGTTCTCGGCATTAATCGCGGTCAGGAACAAGTTGTTGGAGATGTTGTCCAAGTGACCACGGAATTTCAGCCAGGGTCCGGCAGCGGAGATGTGATCAGTCGTGCACTTTCCTTTAACCTAAAAGCAAAGCTCACCCAAAATAGATGCTGCAACCTTGATCAAAATGGCCAGGTCCTCGAGATCCTTGCCATCCCATTTGTTGAACGGAGCCAACAGCTGGAGACGCTGCGATGTTTCGGCAACGTCAACTTGACCCTTGCCAGATGGAGGCTAAAACCGTTTGAACGTGATTTAGAACCGTTCGTACCTGGTAGGTGTCCTCGCCAGGGTCGTATCCCTTCTGAGGCAGATCGTCACCACTGGGAGGCTCAAGCTTGAACTTCGATCCATCCTTGGCTGTCAGCTCGTCAGTCAATGGGTTGAAGTCGAGGCGACCGGCAATGGCGAGAGCAGTGACGATTTCCGGGGAGCAGACGAATCCGTGAGTCGCGGGGTTAGCATCATTGCGCCCGGTGAAGTTGCGGTTGTATGAGGTGACAATCGTGTTCTTCTCGCCCTTCTTCACGTCCTGACGATCCCACTGTCCAATGCAAGGGCCACAAGCGTTCGCGAGGACCACACCTGCAAAACAAGTGATAGTGAAATACATTACGGATTATACCTCCGAAATCAGCGAACACCTTAGAAAGGCCGTCACGTTCAATGGTTGCGCGGATCTGTTCAGAGCCGGGGGTGATCGTGAACGAAGATTTGGTCTTCAGGCCCTTGGCGATCGCCTGTTTCGCAATGGAAACCGAGCGCTGCATGTCTTCGTATGAGGAGTTTGTGCATGAGCCGATCAGTCCGACCTGAAAATGCTTTAGATAAGTAAGATTGTGGTGACAAAACCTTGATATCAACAGGCCAGCCGTTCCTTGCAGCATTTTCACCAAGCTTGTCGATGGGGGACGCCAAGTCGGGGGTGAATGGTCCGTTCACATGGGGAGTCAGGGTGTTCAGGTCGATTTCGATCAGCTAAAACAATAGAAAGCATACAAACGTCTTTAGAACCGAACCTCGTCATAGTGAGCACCATTGTCCGCAGAGAGAAGGTCCTTGTACTTGTCAGCCTCCGCGGCGATGTCCCCTCGGCCGGTGGCTTGTAGATACTTGCGCATCGAGGAATTGTAGGGGAACACGGAAGTCGTCGCGCCGATTTCAGCACCCATGTTGCAGATCGTGGCCATACCTAATTCCCAATGATGCTGCGATAATAGGCCAAACCAGTTGCGGAAATTGATTCGACGCCCGGGCCGAAGTATTCAACAATTGCGCCCGTACCTCCCTTGACGGTGAGGATGTCGGCAACCTAAACACCCGATAGTAACATCGATGAACAAGACATTCGACCGCAGAAATGCAGTCCGTATAAACGTACCTTCAGGATCACATCCTTAGCCGAGGTCCAGCCAGACAGCTTTCCGGTCAGTTTGACTCCAATAACTTTCGGGCACTTCAGTTCCCAGGGAATATCAGCCATCACGTCAACGGCATCAGCACCACCAACTCCGATGCAAAGGCCGCCAAGACCACCTAAGAGCAAACATTTTCGCACACAATAGAAAAAATATACCTCCATTAGGCGTGTGCGAGTCGGTTCCGATGAGGAGCAGGCCAGGGAATGCATAGTTCTCGAGGATGATTTGATGGATGATGCCGCTGCCCGGCTTCCAGAAACCGACACCGTATTTGTTGCCCGCAGATGAGAGGAAATTGTAGACTTCTTTGTTGAGATCCTTTGCACGCGCCAAATCGGCTGCTCCTCCCTTCTGGGCCTCGATCAAATGGTCACAGTGGATGGTGGAAGGGACGGCGACCTGCGGCAAGCCGGAAGAAATGAATTGAAGCATCGCCATCTGGGCCGTAGCATCTTGCATGGCAACACGATCGGGGCGCAGCCTAAAATTATGCGTTAAAATATGCTAAAAACCAAGTGAAGTCGTAATACATCTTCCAAAGAATACCTCAAGTAGGAAATCCCGCGTTCGATCTGCTGGGTGTCAGGCTTGTCCAAGTGACTGTACAGGATCTTCTCCGAAAGGGTGAGCGGACGCCTCAGACGTTCCTTGACGACTTTGACGGTCTTGTTGAGTTTCTCGTAGGGAAGGTAGCTCTTCGTGTCAAACTTCGACATCGGGATGTTGGCCAGCGCGATGGAGGAGCCATGAATGCTCCTCAATTGGTGGAGGTGGGCACCCCCAAAGTTCCCGAGACGGAGCATCACCCTGCAAAAGCTTATGATGAATATATAATACAAAAAAATGGAAATAATTGAGAAAATGAATACGCACAGCGGCAAAAGGAAGAAGTAAAGCTGTCCAAAGTACGAGACGCGCCCAACAAGCCTTATCAATCTCGCCAAACCTATGGAAAGAATTCAGGGGAAGCAACGGCTAGCTAAAAAGCTGAGCAAAAAAAAACTAAATGACCTCAAGAGCGCTTGTAAGTGGCGGGAATAACTTTTCACTCGTTGGCTGAGAGCAAAAAGAACTTTTCGAAACTATCAAAAAAAATAGCGCGGGTGTAAGAGCGAAAAACGGTCTAGACCGACGAAACTATCCGAGTTAGCCGCCACTCTCAGCAAAGTTCGGGCGAGAAGCTGGAGAGTTGTGTAAATTGCGCCATGGCCAGGCGTCGAGAAAGGTTGCTGACGCGTTTCGGGCCGGGCCACGGCATGGGAAAACGGCGGAGGGAGAGGAGAAAAGTAAGGGATAGGACCCCCAGTCACACAACGAGCGGAGAACGCGAGCGAAAGAAGATTTTGATCCCTACAGCAGGCGGGAAATAGATTGACAAAAGTCTAAAAACTACCAAAGCTATATTTAGAAGAATCCAAAGCTATAGCTAAAACAAAAAGAAGTTGTTTAAAATGGAAATCAGCGGGTTATGAAAAGAAAGTACATGAATTCTACCTGACTAAAATTCCAAAATTCCAAAAAACCGGATGCCGGGATTTTTCAGCCGAAGTCAACTTTTTTGTACTTTGTAGACGCTTGCTGAATCCATACGGTATTTGTTCGGGCATCCACGAAAATTCAATCGCAAACAACTGCTAAAACGAAAACGCCAAACAAAAATACTAAAACTTTCCCACAAATTCTAATATATTTGCATTACCAGTGGAAAAAGTTTGCATTATATATTTGCATGAGATAATTTGCGCAAAAGTTAACCTCACAACGTGCAGCCGCCGGGCAGTGTCGTAGGCGAAAAAGAATGGCCAAGACTAGCCCGTTCGGCGGGGTAGGAGCACCGGAAATGCAAACTATTCTGATTTTAGATTTTGGATTTCGGCGCCGGGCTGGGAAGGTATCAGTCAGAATAATATTTGCAAAACAACGCTTTAGCCGGTTAGTAAAAAAAGCAGCAATGAGTTCGTGCTCGATCGGGGAGAAAGGGGAAGTTGTTTGTGCTATTGGCAGCCAAACAGGGGGGCACGGGTTAGTTCCGATAAGATAGGAGATGACAGGGGCGCCTCCGGGGGGTCAGCCAGCCAACCGGCCAGCAGCAGCCACCGACAAAAACGGGGTTGATCCGGCGGTCATTTATTGGGTGCTGCATTGATCGTTTCGCAATTGTGAGTAGGCGATCTTCGGCATAAGCCACGTGACAGGCCCCTTACCTCAGCACCAGTTCCCCAGTTGTCCACGTGCACATTGACGATGTTAGAGCCTTATCGCGATATCGGTAGGACTTTATCCTCGACGCCGTGATGCAATTGTCAGCAACTGCAGTGGTTATCTAAGCATGAATCGACGACGCGCGCGTGCTAATAGAGATCGCTAAAGTGTATAACGGTGTTTGGTGGTGGACGAGCATCGTAGAAGACCAATCTCTCCATTTCTGTTTCAAATGTCTTTCCTACTTCCTCTTTGCTGTTCCAAAAAATTGCAGTAGTACATTAGATTAGTTAATATTAGTATAAACAGGATGCAGACAGCTCTCAGCTCATTCTACGCAGGCTGCATGGCCGTGTCTCCATTTGCGGCTGTAGAGAACGTGGGTTAATTAGTATCCATGAAATCCAGTGTTTAGGTGATTCGTGTAGAGGCTGAACGGATCGTCTTCGGTAAGCTCAGCGTCGCACAAAAGCCGGCATTGAAAGTAGGAGCTAAAAATTTGCCAAAAATTCGATTAGATCGTGCCTGTCGCGTTCGGAAAGGCGGCGATACCCATGGCTGCTGCTGCAGTGAAAAGGCTGGGCGGACTGGTGGAAGAGGGGATTGTGATCACACCGAGGAAAACATTGGCGAGTAGGTGAGAGAAAAATAGAGTTGGAACGCGGTGCGGCATTTGAAGGGACCGAAAACCCGCTAATAAAGACCGGGATTTTTTGCCAAATACAAAAGCACATTTTCGACTGGTTTCGGTGCACTTCCTGAAAACTAAATGTGAGTTAATATATTGTTTCTTTTCGCGTCTACAACCTTAAATGTCTGCGCGTATATGAAGCGGCGACCAACAACCTTCCCGACGAGGATTCGTTGATTGCAACTCGGTCCGCTATAGATGTCATCCGCTCACAAGATCAACCAGACCGTCTCTTCCTGTTTTTGGTATCTGGTACGTTCAATTTGACGCCTTAAATTCCTAATTTAGGCGGCGGATCTGCACTATTCTGCGCTCCAGACAGCGTGTCACTTCCTGAAAAGCTAGACGCTATCAAGGTAGTCATAAAAATTCTATTAAACCAATTTGTTGAGGTGTTAACTTCCCATGGCGCTACAATTCAAGATCTCAACATTGTCCGGCAAAAATTGTCACTGGTGAAGGGTGGGAAAACGCTGTCTCTGATTGCCCAAGCGCAGGTATGATGATTTTGATATGCATTACTGTGATACTTAGAGCATTTCGTTAATCATCTCGGATATCATCGGAGATCCTGTCAATCTGATAGCTTCTGGGCCTACGATACCTGCGCAAACACTCAAATATTCTGCTGAAGATATTGCACGACGCTTGAATGTTGAAAATCAGTTACCGCCGAATGTCTATGCGAAGATCAGATCTTGGTAGGTGCGTTTCCCTCAAACAATATCCAGTTTAGGGATCTGCAGCCGCCAATACCCACATCCACCTATCACGAAATCATTGCCAGCAATTCTATCGCACTAGCGAAGATCGAGCAATACCTGAAAACTACGTATGTGTCTGAAATATCGAGCAATACCTGAAAACTATGTATGACATGTCTGAAATACTTTAGGTATTCAACCTTAATCGTAACCGATTCACTATGCGGCAACGCGACGGAAGTTGGGAAGCAATTAGCCGAGCTTGCAATCGCCCCAAACTACACGCAACTGCTGAATAAAATCAAAGAATATTTTCCACAGGTGCTCCCCTAGTCACTAAATAAAAATATTTCATTTAGACCGAATTAGCGGCTTTTTCAAAGTCCAAGAAAGTGGCACTGATCTTCGGCGGTGAGACGACCGTACAAATCAGAGGGACAGGTACTTTGCTTTCCGTCTCGCTTGAAGAATGTTTTTACAGGTAAAGGCGGAAGAAATCAAGAAATGGCCTTATCTTCGCTCCTTCGTTGCAAAGAGATCAAAGACGCGAAAAGCAGCAAAGAACATAAATTCACTGTATTCTGCTGTGGAACAGACGGGCAGGTTAGGTCCTATTTGTAAAAAGTAAGTATCTGATGGTCAGGACGGGCCAAACGATGCTGCCGGCGCCTATTTCGACCAAAATGCTTTGCTTGGTGTCGATGTTGATGTCGCCGCAAGTTACCTGCTGAATTCCGATTCCTATAATTTCTGGTCGGGTTTCCAAAACGCGTGCTATCATATAAAAACGGGTCCGACGGGTACAAACGTGATGGATGTGCAGATAATACTCATAGAATACTAATAAATGATTGCAATTTTTGGCTTATATGTTTCACGCGAGATTTCCCACAATGGGGGGGCGGCCAGCTGATCTCCAAAAACCAACGCCGGGGGGGCAATCAAAGCGTGATTGTGTCTGATCAAAGCGACGTGAAGGGCCGCCCCGCGCGCAGACGGCGCCGTGGAGTGCGCCGGAAATCGCAGCATGACACCATCGCGGGGACTTGGGATCGTTGAGTGAAGAGTTGGTCATTTTTCTGCCAAGGGAAAGGGGGAACATGTAATCGTTTATTCAGGATACTCGGAAATCGCGAGCGGGTGGTAAAGTGAAGGAAAAAGGAAGATTTGGGAATTGGGGCTTACCTAAGTTCCGCAAATGCGTTTGGCTTTCTATAGATCTCTACAGGTTTTTCTCGTTTATCAACAAGTTAATCTACGTCGTAGAATCGTTGCTCGAAAAGCGGAGTTTTGGGGTAGCGCCTAGACTTCTAAAAAACCGGAAGTTTGACATGTTTTTCGGAAAATCTGCACAAATGTTCTTGCAGTCACAAGGTTGCCCTAGCGAATCGCAAAATCTTCCTTTTTCTATAGATTTAGACTTTAGGATAGTCGCATTTTTTCAGAAGAAGCTTTCGTCGATTTGAGTTTGATTCATCTCTTCAAGCTGCTAGGAAAGAATTCAGCCGTAAATTTTTGTAACTTCCGAATATAACGTCTTTCCTAGATGTAATTTTGTTACATCCCTCCCTCTCTTTGCTGTATTTGATCGACGATTGGCACCAATGGATGGACTCTGATTTCACGGGATCTCGCTGGGTGGGCCCGTGGCTGTTTGTCGGCGGCTTTTCACGGCGATGCCACACATGCCAAAAAGAGTCCCGCCCCCAAGGAAGTCCCGTTCTGGAGAAGTCCCCTCCTTTCCTGACTTCATCCCTGCCTTCCAATTCCTGCACATCGGCATTAACTCACCCCCCTTTTTCCTTCACGTATCTTATGGCGGTAGCTAATGGCGGTGCTAGACTTTTACCGATACTTTTATGTGCAACTACAGTAGTTATGGGACAGGGTAACATGGTAAGTCACTAATTTTTCGAAATTCCTACTTTTTTTAGTTTTTCGATAAAACAGTACCAGATGCGGAAACTGCGCTGACAGATCAGGACTTTATGGCAGGATTTATCAATTTTTTGGAAATCCTATATTTTAGTTGGCACGAATTTCGCGCGATGTGGCAGGCGGTGATTACTGGATTGGCAACTACAGGGTCAACGATTCGGCTATGTATAACAAGGAACGATTTGAAGGCGATATTAGTAAGTTTCTTCACTAAATAGGCACGATTATACCTTGTTAACCTTTATAGTGACAATTCGGAAAAGAAGGCGTAAGTTTAGAGTCCATATGCCCTTTAAGTTTCTCGTTGCGTTAAAATAAGTTCTGAATTCAAAGCTTAGTACTTGGAAAAAGCCCCGATTTCAGTTAACAGCGGTTTAACGGGGCGAACGGTCAACTCATTTATGGGAGCGAGAATGCCGGGTGTCATGCGAAATGCCGTTCGCCAGACGTATCTCAAGTGGACAGACGGTTAAGAAAATTTCTATAAATAAAGTGATTCTAGGCCGAATTCCCTACACAATCAGCTCCCAGTACTCATCGTTCAGGTAAAGTGATCGTCAACTATCAAGATTTGCCGAAATTTAGTCGCTCCAAAATTGCCGAAGCTATCGAAGAATACCGAAAGTTGACGTGCATCGATTTTGCGCCCAAATCGGCAGCTGATCAAGACTATATTCATATCGTACCAGATGACGGGTGCTATTCGTTAGTTGGAAGGATTGGTAAGTCACCGCTATACGAATTATCAGTATCGTTCAGTCAATTCTTCATGTTTGTCTTTGAACCCCCCACGCGAACAATATTTAGGTGGAAAACAACCGGTCAGCTTGGGAGACGGCTGTATCCAGAAGGGAATTATTATCCACGAGCTTATGCACGCCGTCGGGTTTTTCCACGAGCAAAGTCGGTATTTTACAGCGGTCTTCTCCGGACTAAAAAACAATACAATAATCCATTTAATATTCCACGCCCTCAACCCTAAGCATCGCCCACGTCGCCGGGCAACCCCTAGACGGGCCTTTCTCTGCTTTTCTCTTTGAATCTTGGAAACGTAGACACACAAAAAAGAAGGAATATTTTAGGCCGTGCCGACCGCGATGATTATGTGACGATCAACTGGAGTAATGTGGAATCCGGGCTTCAAGGTCCTAGATGAGAGCAAAAAATAGAAATTAATTTAGATCAATTTGACAAATATTCGCTGAATATGATCGATCATCTGGGCACTAAATATGATTATGGTAGTGTAATGCACTACGCGCCGACTGCATTCAGCAAGGTAGAAAAAAGAGAGAAAATTAATAAAAACCTCGATTCAGAACGGAAAGCCCACCATCGAGCCCAAAGATGCGAAAATCGAGATTGGACAGCGTATCGGATTCTCGGAAATCGATGTCTACAAGATCAACAAACTCTACGACTGCCCCCAATTGGGTAAGCTTTACAAAATAATTCTAAATCCCCTAAAGCCACAACAACCGAAGCTACAATGACTTCAACGAATCGAATGCGCACGAGGAAGCCTCAAGCTCCAATGGCGAAAGGTATTGTCAAATCGAGAGTAACAAGTAATGCTTCATCTTGTAGGTGCTTGGCTAGGTGGGATCGGCGGTATGTCTGGAGGCCCCAGCGAGCCCCTCCCTGTTATTGGAACGAAACCGTCAATAATTCCGAGGAAACCGGAAGAAACTGGATGCAGGGATAGGAGGCGGTAATAAAAGTAGAAGCTATACTAACTAGCTTTTTCTAGTGACTGCGAGTACTTGGCGGCAGCTGGACATTGCGAGAATAGGCTATCGATTCGGTTCATGACTGAGAATTGTCAGAAGAGCTGTGGGAAATGCCCAAAGGAAGAAGCGAGCAGCAATGAAACGGATGTGGCGAAGAGTTCGGAAAGTGTAAGTGCAAACGCATGAGGATAAAGATGTCACGCTGTATCGTCTAAAATAAATTTAGTGCTCGGATTCGCGATCATGGTGCTCTCGTTGGGCAGGCTCTGGCATGTGCCAACAACCCATATTTGAAGACTACATGCGCAGCAAGTGCCGGAAGAGCTGCAACTTATGCTAAACCTCACCCCCCGGTCTATCGCCGTTTCCCATATACCTACAATACAATACGGGCCCACAGATGGATATGCTAAATTATTTGCTCAAAAGATAAAATATAATTTACGCTTCTTTACACGCGCTGTTGCTTTGTCCTGGTTGCGTGTGCTGTCGGTTTTGTATCCAAAACCATGATGTTTTATTAAGCACACGTTATTTACAACCATCTTGATATACAAGAAAAAGAGTTCGTACATTGCACAAAAGTTATTTGCAGCCCGTGGGTGGGTGGGAGGTCGTCAAAGATCACAAATTGCAAAGTAAGCACATGTCAGTGAGCGAGAGAGAGAGAGAAAAAAACAGGCACAGAAAATTACATAGCTTAGATAATTAGTTGAAAACAATGAACCGTATTCGGCAATCCGGGAATGTACAGACTAGTCCGAAATAGTTAGGGGAGAGACTACCGTGATTTGGGCACAATCCAAACGCGGGGGAAAAAGATACTAACCTTTCTAAGTACGCGTGAGAAAATACAGCAAAAATTCATGTTATAGGTGGCAACTGCATGTTATTGGGTGATCCCACACTCTTTCAGCATATCGGCCGTTTTCTGTTCCTCGATTTCGGCCTAAAGTGACAAACTTTGAGAAAAAACTAAGTTTCGCGTACCGAGTGCATCGCATCGACCAAATCGGCTTTTGGATACGTCTGGAAGACCTCTTCGTAGTCTTCCATCACACGAGCCTCGTCTCTGAATCACGAATCAGAGCACGAAGCGCAAAATTTACATTTCAATCTGTCGCGCAAACTCTTCAGCCTCCTCCAGAAACTTCTGCTGCTCGGTCAGCAAATTTTCGAAACGCTTTGCCGTTTGTTCCATTGTCGAAATAGCCTGGAAAAATTGGTGTCAATTGAAATCTAGCAAAAATATACCTGGTTACAGCCACAATTGGCCGCAGACGGTGGTGGTTGGATTTGGCCACTCGTGTACGCTTCGAACTCGCGTTTGTCCATCTTCAACGATTCGTGGTTCATGTTCTGGACGAATTGGAGTGCACACGAGAGATTGGTGAAGAAATAGCCTAAATGAGACGTTACAATTTTACAAACTAAAATCTACCTGACTCTCCGCTCATGACCCGATGTGGCAGCGCGTAGCGCGAAATGTATTTGACGTTAGACTGGAGGAGTGGGGGATTTGCCTGGAATCAAAGAATACAAAAATCGGGAGCAGCAATACCTTAATCAGTATAAAAATCAGCACGGGAAGGAATTCATCAGCCGACGTCGGGGCGCCGCTTTTCTTCAGGGCATCGAAGATGCAGTGACAGCACTTGAGAAGACAGTCCAGCTTTTCATCCATTCTCCGAGGTGAGTTGATAGAAATACATTCGGTGATAGCGTCATCCAGGCTTTCGAGGACCTAAAACAAACGAAAATAGGCATCAAAACTTTTGGGTGTACCTCAGCCTTCGTGAAGTCGAGTTTCATTTCCAAGAAGCCAGACGTCACCCAATTCAGGCTCCGGATGCGAGCTTGAAGGGAAAGATCACCAGCCTCTTCTTCGGGTCTGGAAAATGACTAATTAGCGAGAGAGTAAAAACGATAAAACAGTGATAACATCGCAAAAACTTACGACGGACAGAACAGGCGATTGTAGGTGGTCACGGAGAGATATCGCTCGACCTGTTCCATCACATCTTGAACGAATGCCGGATCTAAACGGATTTTTAGCTAGACGAACCATAAAATACCTTGGTTGACAAAGAACTTGTTGTGGCTCAGCCGATCGTTGAGATGCTGGTAGAAGGTTTGCACTTGATCGGAGAGCTCTTCGGGAACCACGTCAAACTAAACTAATTGGTTTTGATAAGGACTTTGCACAAACCTCGTTGATTCTATTCTCAGCATATTTCGTCATTCTCGTGATCTCTTGGACAACGCTGGTAGGCAAATTTCCAATCAACCAGTCGGTGTATTTGACACGGGCTTCAGACGAGTCAGGAGAAAGTTGGCGAGTACTAAGACATACATATTTTCGAATAAAGATTATTTTTTTACCGTAACTGGGTTGCTGTAGAGCTCCTTCGATCACGGTCATCTCTCGAATTATCGCCAGATCCTAGAAACAGAATCTCTAATCCAAGAATTAAATACTAACCACCGGAAAGAATTGACGGCGATTTCTTCATGATGTTGCGAAAAGTCAACGAACGACTTTCAGTCGACAATTTGCGCTTTTCCTCAAATTTCTCGAAGGTGAGCAGCGTTCTAAAGGCCAAAATTATCCCATTCAACAAGTTTGACTGTGTTGCTCTGTTCTATGTAGTGTGATAAAATTGCACCTTTCCACAGAACTTCGTCGCTTTAAAAGTGACTTTATTCCGTGGACCACTCGGTTATAGAAACGCAATCTAAAAACGGGAGTTTTGAAAAACGGAAACTTTAACCAACCCTTTGCGACACAGTTCGGCAATAACTACACGGCAACCTTTGAAAAAGCCCATGGCGCAAAATATACGTGATTTTTGGAACAAAATTGACTAGACGATGGTGGTGGCAGACTAGGTGGTTGACATTCGGAACTAGGTTAGTGGCGCCCCATTGCTCCTTAATGCCGACAGGCAAGTGATTCAAATGCCTTAGGTGCCATCTGGGATATCACACCTGCTCCCCCTACCACTATTGTCCTGAAACCGAGCAAAGTGGGCGCATACAATGCGTGTCTGTATCGATGGGGGATTATGGCGGGATTTTTCAAAGATGCCATCATCCCCCACACATAACCTGGAGCATACAAAACCAAATTTACTTGTTGCGAGCGTAGTCACGGTCTCGCTTCTCAGCAATTTGATGTGCTCGCCAGCATTTCGAACAGCGGTTGCCCCATTGCGGAGTCCCGTAGAAGCCACACCCGTTGATGCAAAGCTAAATACAAAAATGCTAGAAGTAATCGATAAACGTACTAAATCCCGCTCCGAGATTTGAACACGAAGACGACGATCGTCGTCGAGCTCTGGGTCAGCCACGGAATGCATTCTGAAAGCACAAATGAGGAAAATGAGACATTATCAAGGTGAGAAATAGGAAAGGTTCGGCAAACGACCGTGAGAGCACAGGTTGGCAACGAAATGACTCAATTCTTTATTACGGTAAAGTTCACGAAAAGAGATGAGCAAATAGTAGGGGTGGACAAGCATGGCGATAAAAACAACAGACGATAAATGTACTTTAGTACGGGAGGCACCTGTTGCCTAGGGGTCAAAACCACAGAAAATCGTTGTCTCCTTATAATAACTTATTTTATGTACGATTTCAAAAATTCGGGACCAACGTGCTACAAGCTTTACAAAACTATAAAACGTAATCGCAACCCTGAAAATCATTTTGTAGCTAAATTACTAATTTTTCGGTCAATTTCGTGAACTTATCATCCCCTAAACACTGGTGATTGGCAAAAAATACGCTCTTATCCCGGAATGTAACACCCAGCTAAAAACAGAAGACACAACTTCAACAAAGTAACAATATTCACGTCGACGAATGCTTTCCCGCTTCATGCCGCGTAGTTTGGCAGTCCAAAAACGTGAGGCTGGAATTCCTCGAGGGAATCAAAGACCAATAAACGAGAGTTGAGATAACAAAAAGGGCAATACCTGCGTAATCGTCGCAGCAAATTCGGCATCTGGTCGCCAGAGTGGATCGGGCACCATCACGCAATGCATACCGGCGGCAAGCGCGGCCTAACGAAGAACTGGTTTATCAAAAACGACCAAATCCCTACCTTCACGCCGTTTGGAGCATCTTCAAACACCAGAACATTGCTCGGGGAAGCAGGTGCGATTGGAAAACTAAATCTCTCATAATTCTCAAAAAAGGTAACCAGTACCGTTGCATCGTCTCCAAGAAACCATCGGGGAACGGCTTTCCGCGCTGCACCTTCGGATCGTCACCAGTTAAGACCTAAATGAACAGTCAAGTTTCAGCAAGAAATGCATACTTTTAGGGGAATCAGATCAACCCAATCCTTGTGCAGATCCGCTTTCACCGGGAAATCCTTTGTATCGGAGCCAGTGCAGATCGCAGTGGGAATTCCTGCATAATTTTATGGATTTTAACACAATAATCGCACCTGAATTAACTAAATGCCGCACGAGCCGTTCAGCGCCAGCTTTGGCCGGCGATTTCTTGTGCATTTCGAAGAGGAAAGAGTCGTAGTCCTTTGAATATTCCGGTACCGTCACCAGGTGTGAAATCCCCGTCTGAAACATACCGCAAATTTGATTTTAAGCTACAGGAATTCCTACCTGATCGAGAAGGTATTGAATCGCCTCATCATGCTTGCGACCCATCTGACCTGCAAGCCGTCCGCGAAACATTGCAACAAAAACCTTTCTTCAGGTCGATCGTGAATTGCTTTCCATAGCGCTTCAACATCATATCGTTCGCTAAGGTGTAGTTGATCTCGGTATCTACCTGGAATGCATTATTTATTGTGGTACTTATCAAGTTGGGGGGGGGGCCACTTTGGTTTTCGATTTTTTGAGTCTTTCTAGGCTAGTTTTTGCGCTGGTTTCGAATATAACAAAATCAGAGTAGTAAAATACACTTATCTATACGTTTGTTAAGATTTAGAGATGCAGACGCCCGGTATTAACCTAAAAATAAGGCTTCGTGCCACCCGGGGCCTAGTCGCTTCGGATGGGTGCGAGCTCGTACAGGTTTCGAAATCGGGGCGCCCGAGGCGCGCGAAGCGGCCAGGCGCCCCGATTTCGGAAGAATGGAGCGGCAGCCCATCCGAAGCGACGGCCCACCTTGCCTGACAATGCGGCAAGCCTCAAATTTTGCATAAGTACACTTTTTATTAATAAATTTTTACGCGGTTTTTCTGGATAAACCCGACGGTTTAGCATGCTGTGGCTACTCTCTATGCACTCAGCGTAAAAAACTACCCCAGATAGACTCGAAAAAGCGATAAAAAAGTGTCCCCTAATAAGTACCCAAAGTGGCCCCCCCCCCAACTTGATAAGTACCTTTATTGTTTTTGCTGAAATCCCGTGCAGGCGGATGCTCGCACGGTCATTAAAAATTTACTTCAAGTAAATCGCTTACCAAGAGCCCGTCGAAGTCGAAAATGACGTGGGTGATGGGGCTTTGGACCAGCATGGTTGTCGCCTCCATCTAAACAGTTATCATTATCAAAACCTAGAAGTTTCTAAAGCACAAATTGCCAAGAAATGCTTTCTCTTTTGCAATTCTCAAAGTCACAATGCTCGGGCGATAAAAAGGTGCTAATGGGATGGGTGCCCCACGAGGTCGCAGCGTTGTTTGGAGCTTTTCGTATCCATTTTTATATCGGTGGACCAATTGCGGGGAAGCTATAAATCAAAAGTTTTTGCCCTAATCTTCTAGATATAAAATTGTTATGATGGTCCCCAGCCGATAATCGATTCGAAAAGATAGCAGGATATTGTTTTTAGGGGTAACTCCATTGCGAAAGGCAGCTATTCTTTTGACTTATAACTAGGCCGCTTTTGAGGCTCGTTGTAACAATCTAAATTCCGCGCTTTTCTCTGGAATTGATATGTTCGAGCCCTGATTTAATCAATCCCTGATGCTCATCCAAATCGGATCCCCAGGGCTTGAGATCATCGCTGGACGGTGCCTAGCAACGCGCGATTAGCCCCCCTTCCCGCTTCTATCATCAAAGAAATGCCTTCGCTTCGATTTCAGAAATCTCTGTTGTATAATCAAATCCTGCTTTTCAGTCACCGCCCTCCTTCACAGCCAGTATTGCCGGTAGTTCGCTAGAATATGGTGTATCAAAGAGGTAAGGTAAATTGAACTAACTCAAACGTTTTCTAGTACTCGACATCGTGTTCAGCCCATATGGCTGGTTGATAACAGCGGGCCTTGGAGCGGCGCTCTACGTCTATTTCAACAACGTCCAGCCATATTTGGAGAAGAGACAAGAGGCCGCCGCCTACGAAGCCCAAAAGAAGTTTGGTATGTGAGAGTTGTCGTACGAATTCTTGCTTTTAGATGCACATGTAAACCAGCGGGATGAAGACAAGCTGAAGGCGATCAGGGCGCGACAGCAAGCCGAATATGATCAACAAGTCGCCGAACGAGCGGCGTTGAAAAAGAAGCAAAAGGAAGAAGCGGAACAAGCGGCAAAAGCAAAAGCGGCCGAGAGCACAGGCAAAGCGGCGACCACATCGAAAGATGTCCCAAAAAAGAAGGCGTCGCGGTTCGGTGATATGACAGCTAAGCAAATAGTCAATGAGCTCATCAACAGCAAAGCGGTGTTTGTATTCAGCAAGTCGTGGTGCCCGTTCTGCAGGTGAGAATTTGGGATTTAGATAGAACAATAATTTTCTTTTAGAAAAGCGAAGGAAACGTTGGCAACATACCGGTTGGAGGATTTCTTCTACGAGGTGCTCGAATTGGATCTGAATGAAGGGCTTCCAGTTCAAGACATTGTGGATGAGCTGTATGCCATGACGGGAGCCCCGACTGTACCACGAGTAAGTTTATCGTGGTTATAGCTACTATAAAGCTCGGCTATTTGTTTGTTGCGATGACAAATTGCTTTTTGGTGATGATTGACCACCCCCTTTTGAAATGCAATTTATTGTGGGTGTGTTCGTTGGATATTTCGGGATATTTGTATGGCGGGGCTCGTGTCCAATATTGTGTTTGTTTGTTGGGGAAAACCCGGGGCTGTTTTTGGCAATAACCTCTTCATGCGCTTTTACAGGTGTTCATCGGCGGGAAATTCGTTGGCGGAGGAGACGACACAGCTCGACTGTTCCGCGAGGGCAAGCTCGACACCCTGATCAACGAGGCGACCGCCGAACTTGCCGCGAAGCATGGGCGTGAGAAGATTTGAGTTTATTCCAACTTATTTATTTTGATAATAAACACTTTTTGCATGAGTAGAATTTGCGGGGCACTGTATCACAAGCATAGCACCCAGAGGTCCGCCTTCGAGAAGATCTTTTGTTTTTGGCGGGGAAGAATTGGGTCGACATGCTGGGCTGGTACCAGATTTCAAAATTTTACTAGGTTAGTAACCGGTTTTTACTACCCCGGTTAAAATTGAAACGAAACGAAATTTGGTACCAGCCCTGCCTATCCGCTTCGATGAAATATGGCTACAACTTGTACATGTCGGCCACCGCACAAAATTCAAAAAACGGTTCCTATAAGTGTAGGAGAAAGAATTTGAGTCTCGAAGATCGGGGAAGAGGATTCTCAACAGAAAGGGTGGCTGACAAGTAGCTCGCATTTTAGGTAGTCCCGGGACCAGGCGCGTAGGAGGGGAAGGGCAGAAGGGGCAGGCTGCCCCTACCGACATACGGCGTTCCCGAAAAAACCGTAAGGGTCCCCGCTGCCCGCTTCGAAATGTTGCTGTCCCTCCCGAAATTTGGGGTCAGCTACGCCCCTGGCAGGGACCGACAGCGGCAGCTGCTCGTCGCAGAAAGTTAAAAAAATGGAAAAGCTGTAATAAATAAACCTAATGTAATATTGGTTCCGGAGAAAACCTGTTGCTCAAAAACAGCTCTCAGATTTAATTAAGCTTTATCGAGTAACCAGGTGAAAATGAGCAAGGCGCGATGGCCGGGAACTAGAAAGCAGTACGTTCCATCTGTGAAACAATAAGAGCAAAACATTTGAGAGTACAAGCCAAATCAATGCAACACCCGAACGTTAAAGAATCGACAAGACATGAGAGGGGAGGGGAAAAAAGTCCAAGTATTAATAGGCGAGTTTGAATTTGCATCGCACGAGGTAGCGCAGGTGGATCTGGTTGACATCGTAGACAATGTACCTAAAGAAGAGGATTTGTTTTAAAACGAATGGTTACTCATTATATTGCAGCGCGTAAACCTTTTTATCGTGGGCGATTCGGGGACTCGGCTTGCCGACAGGGATCGTGTAACCGTCTGGATGAGCGAAATGCGTCGAGGCGTCGGGCACCGTCACTCCCTCACCTAAAGAAAAAGTGAAAAATATGTATTTAGCTCACCCATGACGGATTGCGCCTTCCGCTGTGCTACGGTTTTGGCCGAGTGTCCAACAGAATTTTGCTCCGGATGAATCTGAAATCGAAATAACGTTTTGTGGGATCAGAAAATGCATATCTAGCGCCTTCAGCAATGTTGTTTTACATCCGCTGCCAATGACCTTTTCGTGGATTCCGAATACGTTTCGCAAGTTTTCGAAAAGTTACAGCGCTTTTTCAGAAATTGGCACCAACAATCGGATTTTAACTTTTTATTCCGTTCAAAAAATTTGCTAAATACGTTTGAGAAACAATTGATAACCCATTTCCTGGTGGAACAAAAAGACGCGCGCCACACCTGCACCTGCCCAGGATAGGATAGATAACGCATGAAATTGCAGTCGATGTGAAAACACAATACAGATAGTCTGGTCGCCAAACTGCATTTCGAAATTCCTTACCTTTCCAAGGGCAACCTCTGCAAGGAGGAGCAGTCCTTCTCCGGTTTCGGTTCGACAATAGTTGGCCGACTTGGAAAACATGTCCGCAAAGTAGACGCCTTTGCCAAACATGTAGCCGGTCTGGAAAAGTGAAGTTGAGAGCCCAACTTTGGTACATACCACAGGCGCTTCCGGCGGGGCAATTCGCAGACCCTGCGACAAAATTCCACCGTAGTTCGGCACACCCGAGCCGTGCCAGAGCAGCATCCGGTTGCCCAATTCTTTGCGGAAACGCTCCGCCTCGCCGGAACGCTCAAGTCTGAGGATCTAAAAAAAGAGCTTCTTCAATAATGCCTGTCATACGTCAATTATTTCAACTTTAAGCTGCTGATGAGTCTGTCCGTGTGTCTTGGTGGCGTAATCTACCAGCCGTTTGTATTCGTCAGAATCCTTGTCAACAACCTGCAAAAATAGATTTCGTAAAGCTCCGATCAAAAAGGGAAATGTCGGATCAGGTCAATAAAAGATGCTCACCGTCATTTTGCAAGCCAATCGCTCATAATGCGTGTCGACGGGGTCACGTTCGACCACTTCCGGCTGCTGCTTCCTGCTCATCATCGAATACGCCTCCAGGATCTCGAGCAGCGACTCCAACATCACCGATTTTTTCTAAAAGGCGTTTCGAGGAGAGCAAAGGGCACAAAACCTGCACGCGCTTCAAGCTTTCGAGGAGCTCGAGCTTGTTGTGTGGGATGATGGAGTAGAAGCGATTCGAAGCGTCGATTATCTTGGCCTTCTGCTCGCAATTTGCCGCGTTGAACAACTAGAAATACTCGAATAGCCGTATACGAAGAGGAACAAGCCTCGGTGAGCTCCTGCAGAACGACGAAGGCTTTTGTGATCTGCGACTTGGACAGTTTTCCCAGCGGCATTTTCTTGATGTCGATCTGAAAAAAGTCATTAAAACGAAAAAAGCAGCTGCTCACATCGTATTCCTTGAGCGCTTGCTTGATGTTATCCACGTCAAAGATCATTTTCATTATGTCGATGATCGGTCGTGGGAGCAGGGAACGAGATCCGGGTGCGACGGATGTCTCGGCTACCTGAATTCGATGTCGTTAATTTTTTCGCCCAACTAAGAGCACAGAAAAAGGCTAAAATATCGAGCGTTTCAGCCGAATGAACAATAAAAACGACTAACCAATTCGCTGTTGTCCGTTTCAACAATGTTCATAAAACCAGCTTTCTTGCGGAAATATTTCCGGTCCTTCCAATCGTTCCCAGATTTGTCCTTGAAGTGGCTAAAAAAGTAGCAATAAAAACGAGGTTCTCCCTAAATAAGCAAACCTAATCTCAAAAAAAAACTCAAACCAACATTTCAAAACTGTCGACGGCCGTATTTAGGGTCCAAAACTCGTCTTCAACACAGCCGCCTTGCGTTGTACCGATTCGTCCCCACGAGCGGAATACATAGTACCTAAAAAGCCCTAGAAAAGCCGGTGAGAAATCCGCACTTTTCTTTCGTGTCGTGCTTCAGCAGCTGCAGTTTGTAGTAACTGTTCCGACCGGATGACATGTCAGCACTGCTGAGCACAGCATTGTAGAGAGAGCCTGAAAACGTTTCAACGGCCGCTGAGGAGTCCCTACCGTCTGGGTCGCGCACCACATGGCAAACTTGGGCATGCGTAAATTCAGCGTCAATCGTGGTACCATTCTTGACAAACGATTTGCCGGATGCTGAAAGAAATAGAGAGCCGAGTTGACTGGCTTACCGGTCGACTTGTGACCAGATTCCATATCGGCACACAGGATCTTCCGGGCTCCAGTGTGTCGGAAAGCTTTGGCGTCGCTGGAAAAGCTTAGAGTAGCGAAAGTCTATTCACCTGACAACTTTTCCGGCATGGTCAATGTAGAGGCGCTCTTTCATCTTCTGAAAAAATAATTCAATTGGGTCAGAAAAGGCGAAATAGGCAGCAAAGCTAGAATTTCACTTGCGGAAAGGGAATAAATTAGAGCCTAGACTCAGAAAACCAGACGTGAAATCGCTTCAAATACGTCGCTGAATTTACTTACGTTTATAGGAGCTTCGTTGATCAGCCAAGGCACAGCAATTCCCATCTCATTAGGCACACCGAACGGGATACGATCGGGCTGTCGAGTCGACTCATGGCACCTTGTCCATTCAGTGAGATGTCCCGTACAAACGTACATCTGTTGCGTGCTACTGAATTATATTAGATGAAAATTTCTCAAAAATTGCCCCCACCTGAACATATACTGTCCGGCCAGGCATGTCGGACAGCGTGTCGACCGGCCAAACAGTGCCGCATCGCAAAGCAGCTCCACCAACTAAATCTTCAAATAAAGAGGAACCAAAACGAAGCCCACCGCATCTTCGCCCTCAGCCTCTGGCTTGTCGAGAAAATTGGCTTCCTGCAGTGCGTTAAGCTGTTGCTTGGTGAAACGTTCCTTGAAGCCAGTGCGAAGCTCCTCGAGCAGGTTCGTTTGAATCTATAATTTTAAAAAGGTCAAGCTGCGCTATAAAGTTAAGACCTCGAGCTTATCCATCCTTTCCGCGCTTTCAGTTTTTTCGACAGGCGCTGGTCGCTTCTGGCCAGTCGGCAGCAGTGTTCCGGTTACACCATCGCTCTAAAAATAATTATTGTACAAAAAAACCACCAGGGAACTCATTTTCCTCCAAAAAATAGAAAAGCAAACTTGCTCAACGTGATCACGGACACCTCCAATCTCAAGATCCAGCCACCACCTGTGGCTTTCCGTCAAATCGTTGTACCCCTAAATGACAACAAGTAGGAAAACACAACCAAACATACGCTGATCTGGCCCGGCTGCCCATCATAAACGCCATTTGGGGTGAAAAGGCATTCGAAGTGGTAGAACCGGGCCTTCACACCAAACTTCATCACACCTTTTGCCACCAAGAGGTTGCAGCCGTGGCATTTTATGCTATAAAAAATGCCGGTAAAAGTAAGGGGTAGAAATCCAACCGATCTGTTTTGGCGTATTCCACTTTGATCATAGACATTTGGATGCCATCTTTGCCGATTCCGCTGTTCGAAGATCCGGGTCTCGTTGCGGCATCGTGTTCACTGATGCTTGCCCTGAAAACACGATATAATTTATCCATATCCTTCAAAATTTTCCTGTTGAATCACCATGTTGAGAGTTGGTGCGTACCTGATTCTCTCTTGATCCTCCCATTTCAGCCAATCAAAACCTCGAATTGAACGCTCGTTGATCTCGCCACCCTTCAGTGCCGTCCAAAAACATTTGTAGTGATGCCTAAGAAAAATTTTCATGGAAGAAGAAAAATCCCACCAAAAATCCTGCATCCCGTCAAAAAACTGGCTGGGTTCACGCACCGAGATTCGCAGAGCATCCTGGAACAATTCGTTGACCAGAACCGGAGCGAACCTGGCCGATCGGTTGTTTGCACTTCTTACAGGTGCTGCGATTCGTCTTTGCGTACTCGGCCCGGTAGGGCAATTCCACCAATTTCGCCGAGTTGTCCGGCTCGCTTCCCATATGGGTCTTTTAACCTGTAAATTGATAATTTACCACAATATGGGAGGAGAGAATCGTGGGAGAATCGGACATTGTTGCAGCAGACGAAGAATGGGGAAAATTTTCTTTTATGGTCCCCGTCCGAAAACTGGTTTTTCGTGTCGGAATCGATTCAGAATTGTTCGAAATGTGGTGTACAGTTGAAAAAAGGGTAGGACAGGTGTTTTTACTAGGAAATAAGCACTTTTTTATGAAAATTTGAGGACCATGAAATGGAGTACGGGGGACTGGATGTTATGGTCCTCGGCTGAAAACCATTTTTCTTGTCGGAAACTATCCAGAAATGTTTAAAATATCGTTTGCAGTTCAAAAAATCGTCGGAAGGAATTTTTTTTGAGATAAATTCATTTTTTCACGAAAATTTAAGGACCATAAAATGGGGTACGGGGGACTGAATTTTATGGTCCTCGGCTCAAAACCAATTTTCTTGTCGGAAACTATCCAGAAATGTTCAAACTTTCGTTTGTAGTTCAAAAAAATCGTCGGAAAGACCCTTATTAGCTTCAAATAATATTTTGTTACAAAAATTCATTCAACCCAATTTTAGTCCGGCGGCCTAGTCGCTTCGGATGGGAGCGAGCTCGTGCAGTATTTCGAAAGCGATGTACTATGCATTTCCAACAATAATCTATTGATTTGGTAAAGGAAAACGCTTTTCAGGTGAGGACCATAAACTTCAGTCCTCCGTACCCCATTTTGTGGTCCTCAAATTTTCATAACAAGTGCTTATTTCCTAGTAAAAACACCCGTCCGACCCTTTTTTCAACTCTACGCCGCATTTCGAACAATTTCAATCGATTCCGACACGAAAAACCACTTTTCGGAGGGGACAATAAAAGTAAATTTTCCCCATTCTTCGTCTGCCGCACCAATGTCCGATTCTCCCACGGTATACCAGAGGCATGCAACTATTTCGGTGCGGTTCGACAAAACATAAGTGTTTATTGAATCAGGGTCTCTTCCAAAGCTAGTCATGGTGTACTACATTCTGGCGGGGGCGGTAGAGAGCGTTGCACAAATCACGGGGGCAAGTAAAAAATTGAATGGGCCTACACGGTCAACGAACCGTCAGCTGCCTCCACGCCACAGGCAAGAGCATGGGGCGACATGAAAAGTTGTATAATAGGGACAGTAGCGGCAGCTACTGTCTCTAGCGTACAGAAATGCACAGAGAACAGCTGACGGTCGCGATAGCCCAACTTACGCGCACAGAGAGGTGGCCAAAAAAGGCATTTCGGTACAGGATACACCGTTTTCTGGGATTTTCCACCAAAAACATTCGTAGATCACAGGCGTGTCAATGGAAGGGCACTCGTCGAAAAGGGGAGGGGGGCATGAAGGGCTAGATGAAGGGAATTGGCAAGCAAATTACTGCGTTTACGAGGAAGATAGCTGAGACGTTGGTATCACAATGAGGGGAAGAAGACGGATAGATAACGATAAAATCTAGGTACTTGAGAATTGCGGGGCTGTTGAGAAAGGAATCTATTATGCAACACTGATAGTCAGGCTGATAACTAACTAGGCAAACTCGATTAATAGGACTTTTTTTAGGGGGGAGGCTAAGAACCGGGTGTAAGGACTTCCTTGCCGGTGCCTCTGACGAAAATGACACGCGGCAGGTTGTCGGAAAGCACCTCCAAGTAATGTATGTAGTCATCGAGCCCTGAAAAAGCGGGTTACTCTATATATATATAAACTTGCTGATGTAGCTTATTGGAAGAAAAGGTTCAAAGAAAAAAGCTAGCCTTTTTTGTATAACCTTCACGTCCAATCGGCGGCGGCAGGTTGAGCAGCACCCGCTGAGAATCCTCCTTCGAAGGTTCCGTGATCAGCTCGTTGAGGCGGATGGCCGTGTGCATTTTGTGAACTTTGTCCCTGTTCAGCGCGCACACCTTCTTCTTCTTCACGTCCTGCTTCTTATCGTGGTCGTTCAGTGCGGGAACGGCTAAAACGGGAGTAGATCGTTTGCACCGGAAATTAAAAGTCAACGCACCCTCATTCTCGTCGTCGTGCTTCTTCTCAGCCTCCCCGCTATCTTCAGTCTCGGCATCGGCCTCGCTGCTGCTGATCGTCCCCTTGCTGTTGACCTTCTCGCGTGCTTGCTGGTGCTCGGCGACCACCAAAAGCTAGAAAAATTCGCCTCCTCGATAAAAGGATACAAAAACTTACCGAAAAATACTGCCCCTCGCCCCGCTGAATCGAGCGCTGTTGCTGCATCTTGTGGATGAATATCGTACGCTCCTCCATCAACAGCGTCCGTTCAAAGGCATTCTTCGAGATTTGCGGATCGGCCAACTCGGCGATCTAGCAAAAGTTTAGAACACCCAAACAAAAGCTACAAGTATCTTCGTGTCGATCCGAAGTTGGTAAACGTACTTCTGCAAGTCTTGTTGCATGCGCGTGTTGTTGTCGGATTCTTGGGCGGTGGCGATGCGAAGTTTGCAGCCACGCCAAATCTGAAAGGCATTCCATAAGTTATTAAATACCGGCACCACAAAGCTGCATCTAAATACAATACCTTGTTCAGCTTCAGAAGATAAGCCATCAGGATACAGAGCCCTCCGACTTGCACAATCCAGTAAACGTCGATCTACCCCTAAAACGGAATGCTCCCAGAATACCTCAAGAGTGCCTACGTGAAGCTTGACAGCGGTCTGCATGTTCGGGAAGTTGATGATCCCCTGGCGACCAGCAGAGCCATTTCCATGGCCACCGCGGCGTGGAGCTTGTCGGTCAAGGTCTGGCATTCGCTGCCGGCTAGTTCGTGCTCTCCGCGATCATGCGTGGGCCAAGAAATGAGCATTGTGTCGGGCTTTAGGCCGCCGAGTCCAATTGACTGCACCAAGGTGCACATGAGGCCGATGATCTGAAAAAAAGGCATGATTGGACCGCGATCCCTGAAGCTCCTTACTTGATCTTCTCCATAAATGATAGCCTTGCTAAAACCGCGCAATCGCAGGTTGCCCATGTCGGCCTCCATACGGGCACTGATCTAACAAGAAAATGATTACGGTTAAGACGTTTCTCAAAATTACCTCATTTGTCCGTTTGCTGTCATCAACCGAAAACGGATTTCCGCGAATAAAGGACGCAACGATGCTCAAACCACGGCCGGCCTTCAGTTGTGATGCAAGGTTCAGCAGATTCATGTAACTAAAGGTATTTCGGAATCGACATTTGGGGGGGTTTTTCAAATCCCCTAAGCGGAACTTCTTGTAAACCCAAAAATTTTACCGCTCATGTTTGCGCCCGTAAAGGTGCCAGTGAAAGCCGGGAACCAGGTGGCGAGCAGGGCGAAGAAGGTGGTACGAACATCCTAAAAGAGCACGTTGCTTTTCATGCAGTCTAAAAATCACAGCTGGAAAACGTCAGTATTCTTGTCCGCTTGTGTGTTGACGGATGTGTAGAAAGCGTCGACATAGTTTGGCCCAAAGTTCTCTGCAAAGTGCCGATGAGAGCAAATCAGAGAAACGAACCCATGAAAGCCCCGCTGTACAGTCCGGGGAAGCCATTGATGCACCGCAGGCAGGGACGTAGCCAGAAAAAAATTTCGGGGGGGCCCCGAAAAATTTTTTCGAAAAACTCCAAAAAATTCACGAGAAAACAGCGCCGCAGGCGGAAAATTTTGGGAAAAGAGGCTACATAACTCTACAAATAGCAGGAAAAACGTGAAAAAAATAGCGCCGCAGGCAGCAAAATTTTTGAGAAAATAAAAATCATAAGGGTCCCCCCTTATGAAATTTTCGGGCCCCGGCCGATTTCGGGGGGCGGGCCCAGGGGGCCCACCTTACGCTACGTCCCTGACCGCAGGTTACCGCCAATCATTGCATCGCATCAGGAGGTGGGAGAGTTGCAGAAGGTTGTGTTCAGGATTTCGTTGCTATAAAAGCATATTAGGCACTTTTATACAGCTAACCTTTTGTTGTAGTAGAGGCACATATCCACAAAGGCGGCGCCGGGCGGGAGTACAACATCCGACTGTAGCAGTCGATCGTTCCGCATGCAAACACTAGGAAAATCCTCAACAATAAATAGGAACGTACTAGTGCCCAGCAGAAGGATTTAGAGTCTTTTCAACACCGCCGGCATAACAGAACAGATTGAGCAGATGACACAGATGAGAGTCACCTAAACCCGGGGTTAAGATCAAGCCCGGAAGCAAACTCACCGGCGCTAGCAGCTGAACGAACTTGACACCCATTGCGACGATGGCGAATTCGTTGAGAAGTAGAATAGTGGAGTCAAGCCGCAGGTTGTGCGTCAGCATCCCCCATGTGCCCGTATCGTGGTGCACGTCCCTGCCGCCGATCGCCAGATTCGGGAAGATATAGAGCTAACAAAAAGTATTTAAAAATCGCTAAACAATTACCAGCAAGATTTCGATCCCTCCTACCAAGTACATGCTGGTCGCGACAGTGTTGGCCAGGTAGAACAGAATCCCTGAGCATCAATAATTTGTTAAAATAGTGCTACTTACCGACGGCAGACCCGAATTCCGGCCCGAGATTCCTGGAAATCAAATAGTAAGCACCGCCAGATTCCATGACTCCGTTGGTGGCGATGGCCGAGATAGAGATGCAGGTGAGGAATGTCTAAAAAAAGATCTAGTTTAGTTTTTAAATACTTACACAACAGCAGCAAAGGGAACCATCAGGAATGTCTGTCCGCCCAGCTATGCCGACCGCCCTAGAGATACGAGATTTTCGAAGATTCAGGATTTACCAGAAAAGACGGATGAACCTCGTAACGCCCAGAATATGCTGGATAGTCGGCAAGTAGACACCCAGAATGACTCCGAAGTCGGCCTAAAATCAGGGTTTAAATCCAAAAAACTATCCTTGGCCCGCTTCTGCTGGTCACGCTCCGCGGGGCCGGGCGTGGTGAAGACGCCCAAGTAATTGGAGCCATATTGTCCTTGCGGTTCATCATAGAGGGCCAAGTTGTTCGTCTTGCCTTACTCCCAGGAGAAAAGTTCCCCTGAAAAATCAGGTGTTTATTTGCGTAAGGAAAAGCCAGGCGCATCGTGGCACCAAACTTTCCAAACCCTTGTGAGATTTTTTAGGTAACAGCGAAAAGTGATGAGCAAATTTCGAGAATGCTACGGTGTGGCGTGGCTGGCCTGTTCAAAAAGTATGCGAGTGGTAAGCCAAAATGGAAAGGCAATCCATAAAAGTAGACCGGTGGACCCAGTTTTTTGGTTTAAATGTGTTTTACTTAGTAAAACATTAAAAATTAAACTTTTATCATCAACTATAATAATTTTCTTGACGCGTCCGTCCGTCCGTCCGTCTGAAGCCGAATTCAACTCGAAGGGGAAAAGAGCTAGAGCTTAGCTCTCTTCGGATTCGGATAGAGCGTGGTCAGAAACCCCCAAACTGATAAAAAATTATGAAAAAGTTTTAGTTTAAATTATTAAAATTAACTTGAAAGTTTTTTCCTTAGTAAAAGGGGTGGGGGAGGAGGTTGGGGGGATTTTAGACATAGTGAGCCAGGTCGCGCGCGTTTCGTGGATGAAAATTTTCACGGGGGATTTCATTTCTTTTTCTCTCATTCCATCCGGTCGGTCGTTATTTTTGTTTTTTTTTAGGGGATTTTGGCTAGGGGAGGTATCTAAAGCCATCAGGAAGGTATTTAGGTAGTTTTTGAAGGGGATTTCAGCCATGGGGGGTATCTGAAGCCATCAGGAAGGTATTTAGGTAGTTTTTGAAGGGGATTTCAGCCATGGGGGGTATCTGAAGCCATCAGGAAGGTATTTAGGTAGTTTTTGAAGGGGATTTCAGCCATGGGGGGTATCTGAAGCCATCAGGAAGGTATTTAGGTAGTTTTTGAAGGGGATTTCAGCCATGGGGGGTATCTGAAGCCATCAGGAAGGTATTTAGGTAGTTTTTGAAGGGGATTTCAGCCATGGGGGGGTATCTGAAGCCATCAGGAAGGTATTTAGGTAGTTTTTGAAGGGGATTTCAGCCATGGGGGGTATCTGAAGCCATCAGGAAGGTATTTAGGTAGTTTTTGAAGGGGATTTCAGCCATGGGGGGTATCTGAAGCCATCAGGAAGGTATTTAGGTAGTTTTTGAAGGGGATTTCGGCTAGGGGAGGCATCTGTAGCCATTAGCGTCGGTATTGATAGAGCCTAGGGATGGATGTGATGGTGTATTACATGAAGGATAGCCCGAAGGCCAGATGGTTAAAGTCGCGAAGCGACTGGAACCATCTGGTTATAATATACTGTAATTAGTATTTTAGCTTAGCAGAGGGCACTATATAATGAAATTTAGCTTGTTGGGGTCCATATACTCATGTATCGGGGCTTTATCGCAGCTTTTTAACCCGGGTTTTGCTTCTTAATACATTTATTCAGGAAAATGCTTTATTTGAAACATATTCAGCTATTAGTTTAGTAATATTCTATTGTCCTACCGCCGCGTTCTTTTTATTTGAAACGTTATCTAACTCAATCTCCGTAGTTCTCACGCTTTTCGTTTGTTACAATAATTTTTTCCTGGTATTTCGTCCAACCTTTGAGTATTTCGTGGTTCTCATATTTTAGTAATATTGGTTAATACTTACAATAGCAACTATTCATATCGTAAAGCAGTAATATCCTAATCTCTAACGCTTTGTCTTATTACCAGACTCCGCTTCGCGACTTTTCAACCCTGGCCCCGTTTGGACAAATGAAACTGTAAACTTTGCATGATTCAGCCCCAATCAAGCTGACAAAAATGAAAATATTTTCTTCCATCCCGTTTTATAGTCTTCTTCTACTTCCGGTATACGCTAATTGTTTCCTACCAAAGAGCGTTCTCGAAAATTTAGAAAAACTTATTTTTAATATCGAAAATAGCGTATTTCGATAATTCTGTTATGCGTGCAGTCTTCGCAGAGCCATTACGCACCTAATGATGTATCATACGTACCCTAATAGTCATCCCCTATTGCGTTATCCTCCGGACATACAGACGGAAGTTGCATGCAAATCGACACACACACAGACACTACTTTTTTATATATAGTAGGATAGTAATTCTTGCCTTTGTATCACATATCCTTGAACTGGAAGTCGGTGTGTTTAATTTAAAGGTATATTCTCCATTACAGTCGGCGTTTTCGCTTTGGATAATCGTTTTTGCTGCTCGCTTGTTTGCTTAACTTGGCTTCTGAGCAGGGCTGGCCTAGGGGTAGCGCGGTTATGCATGTTATAAATCAAACGTGATTTTGTCATAAGGAAGTTATACGACTATAATGGGCTAACATACTTTAAAAACGGTGCCAATGCACTTGGGGGGGCAGTCTGGATTTTGACTACAAGACGCTCCAAATGCCATTTTTTGAAACTAGAAGCCTCAGGAAAAGCTAAGCTAAACCTAAGCCTAGGCTTACCTTCATGCAAACGAAGCCTGAGCTTAGCTTGAGACAAGCTAAGCTGAGCTCTAAGCTAGTCCATAAATGACCCCATTTTGACCTCGTAAGTTAATTTGAAGCTCAATATAAGCTTAGCTTAGGCTTAGCCTTAAGCCTAAGCATAAGCTAGGCTTTTAAAGCTAAGTTAAGCCTAGGCTTAAGCTGAAAACCAAGTAGCTTAAGCGGAGCGCCACGTAACCCCTTGCTACCAATTTTGGACTGCCCCCCCCAAACTGCAATCGCACCTTCAAACCTTCGTTAACCACCCACTAACTTCATATTTAAGGTCAAGTGATGCAGAAGCACGAACTACTACACATAAGGCGCGCAAAAAGACGCTAGTTATTGGCATGTTATTAAACTATCAATACTTGCTATTTGAAGCATTTCCCCATTAAATCCTACTATATATAAAAAAGTGGTGTATGGGTGTCTGTGCCACTTAGCATCCACTTCCGTATTGTTGTTCCAGTAGTATCTCCATAGGGGAAGAAGTTAGAAGTGTGCAGGAAATGACATTAGGTGCGTAATGGCCTTGCGATGACTGCACACGTATCCGATTTTTTAAAATTACCCATTTTCGATATTAAATTTAAGTTTTCGTGAAATCCTCTTTGTTAGGAAAAATTAGCATAGACCGGAAGTGGGGGGGGGGGGGTCGCCTATATAAAGGGGCGGCAGGGTTGTTTTTCATTTTTTTGTCATCGGTCCATTCATGACACCTATGCAAAGTGAAGAATAACAGCATAGACGGGGCCAGGGTTGAAAAGACGCAAAGCGGCTTTTCAAGCCTGGTGTAGTTTTAAATACTACGGACTAATAACAAAGTATTAAACGAGAAATAAATCAACATAATACACGAAAAGCGAAAGAATTACGGGGAGAGCGCGTAATTGGTAGCGAATATTGCAAACAAAGAACGCGAAGGTAGAACAGTACAGGGTGTCCCAATAAAAAGGCCACGCTGGCATTTCGCCATTTCAAATCTGTTCGATCTTTGATTTGCTTTTTATTTTATTATTTATTTAATTTTTACTATAACTCTAAAACTACTGTTCCGATCGGGCTGAAAGTTTCGGTGAACATTTTAAATTGCCTTCCGCAGCTCTGTTCAAAATTTCAAGTCGATCGGATTTGAAATGACAAAATGTCAGCGTGACGTTTTTTATTGGGACACCCTGTGTAACATAGCAAAAGTATATTAATAAAATCATCGCTAAATGAAAAAAACCGGGTTAAAATGTGCAATAAAGCCCCGACACATGGGTATATTGACCCCAACAAGCTAAATGTCATGATATAGTACCCTCTGTTAAGTTAAAATACTAATTACAGTATATTATAATAATAAAAGTTTAATTTATAATGATTTACTACGTAAAACACATTTAAACCAAAAAAACGGGGTCGACCGGTCTACCGGCCTACCGGTCTACTTTTATGAATTGCCTGTTGAAACCGGTCCTACCACCCAAATTTTTGGCCCGGCCCGGCCCCTTAAAATTGCCAGGCCTGTTCACAGGGGAACATCTGCGTCTAAATTCGCCCACTAATGGTAGCAACGGGCTCCCATCATAAAAAGATGATGAACCCCTGGTAGGGCCAACGCTCAACCCCCGCGGAGCGCTAGTCTCAACTTTAAATTGTTGCCAAAGACGGAATTAGACCAGTAATCCGCCAAGAAGATTTGGGTGTGGGAAGATTTGAGTACATTCCAAATTATTTATTTTGATAATAAACACATTTTTTGCGTGAGTAGAATTTGCGGGACGCTGTATCACAAGCATAGCACCAAGAGGTCCGATTTCGAGAAGATCTTTTGTTTTTGGAGAGAAAGAAATTAGTTTAGATTTGAACGAGTAGGGGGATCGAGTATAGAATGCGATTTGAACCGAATATTAGCGTAGAATCATAAACTTTGGCGGCGAGTTTGGCAAACGGGATATATAAGGAAGCGTGAGAGAGAGAATTTCACAAAAAAAAGGGGGGAAATTATTAGGGGAGGGATTGGCGAGAGGGGGCTAACTGAGACTATATATTTTCGGGGATGCAAGGAACAGGGGAGTACTAATGACGATTGCCTTGCATTTGACGAACCTTCATCGCCCGAATATGTAGCTTCTCCAAATCGGTGTCCTCGATTTCGATAGCGCACACCCAAAAGAATTTTTCCTTTTTTTCGTCATATCGATCGAACCTTCTTGACGAGCGTTTCCTCATCCGTCAATGTCCTCGGCAAGTTCTTCAGCCGAACGAGGATCGAATGCATATCCGGAGCCGACTTGCACTATAACGAAAATTTAAATTTTTAAGTTTAAAAATACCGCCTGACGATTTCCGAACGAGCCGTGCAGCAAAACCAAGGCCACCTTGAGAAGTACTTTCATACCTTAAAAATATTTCGAATTCAGAATGGTGTGTTGTGTGTACCTTCACATAGAAACATATCCCAGATGCGAAGAACGGTTGGCCAGGGCAGCGAGCGGCAATAGATGCACATAAACCATTCGATCATATAGAGCACCGGGCTCACATTTTGCTCCTTCTGAAGATTTTTCATTAATAAAATTCGAGGGTAAAGGGTACCAAGTGGCGATAGCAAGTCTTGGCCTTGTCTTTGAGGAGCTGGTTTAGCAGATCGCCATCAACTTGGACGGCTTCCTAAAGCGGAGATTGGGATTTAATAATAAAATCATTACCAATCCGGGGCTGTAATAACCGGGCAGATACTTGTGGCAAATTTGTACGAAGCAATAGAAAGCATCTCGTAGCGGCATGTGCATCAACAGAACCGAGGCAATAGGAGCCTAAATTTTTACATATTAATTGTAAGCTTAATCTACCTGTCCTTGACAATATCCTTCTTCCGGATGGAGCACTGTCCAGGCCTTTAGTAATTCGAAGAGATCTTCCTTTCTAAAATTCTTAATTTAAAAACGAACGATATCTTATTTCTTACCCTCCCTGCGCATATTTCCCTTCAGCTGCGAAGAGCTCATGCTCCGGGAATTGGCGGTTGAGGTCTTTATTGATTTCATCGATGTACTTCTCCTCGCCCGGCTGTCGCAACAAATACTGAAAAACCAATTTAATTTAATTATACGCTCTTTTACCTCAAAAACGAGCTTATTGTTCGAAACTTCCATCTGGAATTTCGCTCCAGACAGGTATTTCCAAACTCTTCCGCGAAGAGCTGGCGGAATTCCCTTCCGACATCGCGACTTGATCTTGTCGTACCTAAACGGGAATAAAGTTTAATTTGACTTAGGACTTTAATTTATTTAATTTTAAAGGATTTAATTTGATTTGACGTTGACCAACTTTTCGTCCATATAATGATGCCAATTCTCCAGCATCTCGATCCACTTCCGCTCCCGCTGATGCAGCTTGCTCATCTTTATCGTTGGACGATAACTTAAAACGGCTATGTATTCACCTTTGTGTAATTTTACTTATCGATTTGCTCAGACTTTCGGATGAAGCCAAACTGGTCAGTGGGTGGGAAGGTTGGGCCGATGCCGTCCGGATCTTCTTCCTGAAACACAAAACTAAAAGCGTGAATGAGCAAACCAGAAGGTCTTCCTCCCTGGAGTCGTGTTTTGTGGATGAAGAACCCTGTTCTGATCGGGTCTGAAAATGATTGTAGAGTTGTAAGAAGGGATAATACCTCTCCTGGGCGCTCGGGCCTTTGTTTCTTGTAGGGGAAGATGTCAACCTAAGGTATTTTAGTTATATGGTATACTTTATTCATATTATTGAATCAGCTGTTTGGGTTTGAAATCAAAAATTTAATTTTAATATACTCCTTTAATTTTAAGAATAAATTAAGGATTTTAATATTACCTCAGCGAGTGGTGTTGGGTCATTTGTAGATGAAGGAGAAGCCATCATTGGGTCTAAATTGTAATTATAAAAAATTTACCCTACTGTAAATGCATTACAATACAGTACATAGCGTCAACGATACCTGGATGTACATTTGAAGTCGAAGGCTCGTCATCCTCATCATGTTTCGGAGAAGCCAAGCCATTCTCCTCGGCCATCACCTGTAAAACTTCCGAGTCATTATTTACTCATTTTCTAGAATACGAATAAAGAATAACAAAACGCATTAATGACACATTTTCACTGTTTATCCGGTGGTTGTTAGAAATTGATGTTTGCTTCCGCTCGGCGCCTATACACATCGACATCGTGTGGGGATGTATGGGAAGGGAGCGCTGACTCAGCCCCCGCAATGAAAAAGCCCGTATCGGGCAGCAAAACAATGCCACGTCTGTCTGTATACAGTCTGCTGTATAAATAGCTGTGTATATATAGTGCGGAAATAATTAATTTAAAAAATTTATGCATCGACATAGATAAGTTGCGACCCGTGGGTATGGAAATGGAACAAGGAGAGCTCCTAGTTTTGATGGTGACACCCGGGGGGGCATTTTTTTCACTCGAGAGATCCGTCTCTGACCATTGGGTTCAGGTTTTCAAGTTTTTCTGGTTGTTTTAGGTAGTAACGGAATGAATGCGGCCGATGTGTTGTGGAACTAGAAGCTTGTTTTAGAGGTTTTCAGCCAAAATTTTGATAGATTTCAGCGACAGTTAATAGCTCCTATAAGCGGTTAATACTGTTTTTAATGGCTTGAACCTTTAGATAAAGCACTTTCGAATAAATTAAAGGGGGAAAGACAGCAGAATGAGTGGATCTCGGCAGGTTTTTCGTGGGTGGAGTTTCGGAGCTTGTTAGGGGGCATCAGTTGAAGCAGAAAGCGCTTGTGACAGGAATCTAAAAAAGGTGTTTTAAGGTATATTTTAACTGGCACTTACGTTAAAAATACCCGCGTGGCTGACTGGTATAAAACAATGGTGAAAACAATGATGTCTACTAAAAATGTGGTATTTTTGGAGAGTTTTTTCGCCAGCTTCTTACGTGTAATTGGAAGCTCACATCCTGGCCGGGCTCAATCCGAACGTGTTGGATTGTAGGTTGTTGGAAGTACATCTGCTGATTTCCGTAGAATAGGGGCTGAAAAATCATTTTTAGCGTTTCGGGATTTCTGTAATAATTCCGGTACTGGACTCTTAGCGGGGGGGGGGGGGGTTTCCAAATTTTTTCCAGTTATCGAGTGCCGCCCCTTATCAGGGAAATATAAATTGAGGTTTTTTATTAAAAGGTATGAAAAATGAGCAAAAACCCCAAAATTTTCGAATTTTAAACACATTTTTTAAAGTTTGTAACAATCAAAAAAACTACTAAAAACATTATGAAAATACGCTATTTAAGATTAACTGGTATGTATACGCGGGAAGGCAAAAAGTACCCCCCCCCCCGCTAACGGTCCAGTACCACCATCCCAGTGCTACATTCCAAAGCCACAATACGCTCATGCTCCACTAAAAACCCAAAAGTTCAGCCTCAAAAAAACGCACTGCCTGCGCGGGAGCAATGACAAACGGCGGGCTAGAGGCTGTAGAAGGAGCCGGAGGTGGTGCTCCGGCGGGTGGTTGATTTTGTTGGATTTGAGGTGGATGGGCGGGCTGCTGAAATACACATCACTGGGAAGCACATGCTGTTGCAATACACACCATCATACACTACGGTATACAATCGAAAAGAAGCAAATAGTTGGTGCTCATCGAATTTAAAAAGTTTTGACTTCTTGCTCAAAAATATCCTATGAGCACCAACTTCACCAAACAACCAAAAATAATTTTTATTAAGTTACCTGGGCTCCATTGGCTTGTGGGACCGGAGTTTGAGGTTGACTGGCGTGAGCTGGAGCTCCTGGGACAATTTTTAAACGGATAATGTGGTGACAATACCTGCGTAATGTTCCATGCCATTACCATTACGTTGTGGCTGGCTGGGGAAGCGTTGCGTAGTCCCTGAGGTCTGGACGTATTGCTAAAAACGCTTATAATATTAATTAACTTTACATTAATTTAATATTGTCATAATATTAATATTATTCCATATTTTTATAACATTTTTACCATTTGAGGCACAGTTCCCTGATAGTGCGACTGCGGGATGTAGCCGATTTGTTGGATCTGCTGTGTTTGAATCGGGAGCTAAATTCATTTTTAATAAATTTTTTGATAGTTAAAATTACCTGTTGTATAAATCCCTCCTGTCCTGCTTGAACTTGACCGCCCGGATACGCGGCCCCCGGGAAATATGTCGCAACCGGCACATTTTGGCCGACACCAGTCGGGTAGACCTGGGCATAGGGTCCCGGCACAAATACTGTAAATCCTCGGAAATGTGAGAATGGATGGATATTTTACCTGGTTGAGCTTGAGGTCGACCTTGGTGCTGACCACCCATTAGCGGCTGAGCACGAGGTTGCTGAGCGGCAGGTACGGTATACTGGGCAAAGGTTGGTGGGATAGTCTAGAATAAAAAATATGGTTATTTAAATTTTTATACCTGATAGGGTTGTGGCGGGACTCCAGCGTATTGATATAGAACTGGATTTTGTTGGATGATGCTGCTCGAGGGCTAAATTAAATAGATTATATTATTTTTTAAGACTATGTTACTTTCTAAGCCAAGCCGCAGCTAAGCCTAAGCTAAGCCTAAGCTAAGCCAAGCCTAAGCTAAGCCTAAGCTAAGCCTAAGCTAAGCCTAAGCTAAGCCTAAGCTAAGCCTAAGCTAAGCCTAAGCTAAGCCTAAGCTAAGCCTAAGCTAAGCCTTAGCTAAGCCTAAGCTATGCCTAAGCCTAAGCCAACATACCTGCATAGCATAGTTAGGAATTGTAGTCACAGAATGGGGACCACGAGCCGATCCAATCTGCACGACCTCAACAGCTTCCGGTTTCTTCGTCGGCACAAATGCAGCGGCATTCGGGTTGAAGGTGAACTTCTTCTCACTGTAACCCATTTAAGCATAAGCATTCTAAAGTAGTCCCACCTCTTCTTGGAGTCACCCTTCGCTTCTCCATCTCCCGATGCAGCCGATTCAGGGGTTTCTCGCTGCTCCGCGCCGTCAGTCTCGCCCTTCTGCAACATTTTTGGTGTAATAAGTAGTGGCCGGAGAATGAGTTTCCGGTATTTTCAGGTATGGATTGTTTGGTTGCTCACATTAATTCCCTCGGGTTGCGGGTGCCGTAAAATTTTGATTAGGATGGTCGGGAGTGGCTAATTGCAAACGGTCGCTTGGAAACGGTGTGGCTAATTTTTGGGGTTGGAGAGGGAGAGAGAGAGAGAGAGAGAGATAGTGAGCACCAACCTTATCCTCCTCTTTCGACGCAGACTCTTTAGCATCAGTTTTCGGAACTGGTGAGGGTTGATTGGAAGAGACCGGGGAGCTGACGAGGCCTTGAGGAGGGCCACGCGTCCAAGCGTTGGATGAAGTTGTAGCCGCTTGTTCTTCATTTCCCACCTAATTACGATATAATATAATAAAATCGAATAATAATTTATTTAATTTACCAGCCGCTTACAGCGGCTTCGCCGCTGCAAGCGGCTGGACTTCGGGCTACCCCCTTGCGCTCCCTCCTCATCGCCGAAACGCGCGCGACCTGGCTCACTATCTCCAAAATCACCCCAACCTCCGTCCCCCCACCCCTTTTACTAAGGAAATAACTTTCAAAGTTAATTTTAGTAATTTAAACTAAAACTTTTTGATAATTTTTTGATCAGTTTGGGGGTTTCTGACCACGCTCTATCCGAATCCGAAGAGACCTAAGCTCTAGCTCCTTTCCCCTTCGAGTTGAATCCGGGACACGACGGACGGACAGACAGACAGACAGACGGACGCCTCTACTTTTTTATTATAGTTGATAATTAACAAGCAAATACCTTTTCATCTTTTGTCGGACCATTGCCAAAAGTTTCACGCTCCGAAATAGAGGAGGTTGAGTTGCGGCTATCTGAAAAAAAGTTTTTTAACTTCCAGATACCTTTAAAAATATTTTAATGCCATTAACTTACCAGAATGATCCCGAGATTCATAACTATCCGCCGGATTCCTACGCGCCATCGGTTTCCGCTCATTCCCTTTAGACGGCCGCCCATTCCCGCGAAGCGCCTCTGCACGCTCGTTGTACTCAACGTTGGGACGATTGTTACGGCTTTAAAATATCGTAATTAATCTACAACCTGCTTCTTACTTCCACTTCTTAATATCGCGTTCCTCATCGTCATTTTCCAACATAGCTCGGTGCTAAAAAAATCAATATTAGTGGTTTTATATGCTTTCCCATACCTTGCTCGTATTGCTGGCCTCGATTTCGCGGGCTATTCTCTCGGCTCTAGCCAGGAGCTCGGGGTTTTCGCCGATTTCGACGCTAAATGTGGGTGTTTTCGGAGTTGTAGTTTGTAGGTTACTTCGTATATTGCTTGTGGCCTTCGACGTAGGTGCTCTGAACTCCAAGGACTCGGTTGGAGGCGAACATGGCATCTGGGCTCCATCCGGTACGACCGTCTTCATTTTTGAGCTAGAAATATGTTTAATAAAATTTGTATATTAGCTATTTCTGCCATCTCTCTCCGTTTTCACTCTCTCTCCCTCTCTCTCTCCCTCCCTCTGTCTCTCTCTCTCTCTCTCTCTCTCTCTCGTGATATAGCTCTCGCGCGCTCTCTTTCTATAGCTCTATCTCACTCCATCCCTATCTCTCTCTCTCTCCCTCCCTCTGTCTCTCTCTCTCTCTCTCTCGTGGTATAGCTCTCGCGCGCTCTCTTTCTATAGCTCTATCTCACTCCCTCCCTATCTCGGTCTCTCTCTCTCTCGCTCTCTCTCTCTCTCTCTCTTATTCTTAACGATACCTTAAACCCATATAACTTACAGTAGTAGCCCTATTCGGCAATTCCTCATCATGCCCATTCCACTCCTCAAACTCCCGCTCAGCCACAGCCGCCTTTGAGCCATGATATTGAGCATCAGTCCGGAACACTAAATCACGTAACCAATCCAGCATAATCCTCCAATCTTACTTTTCTCAGTCTCAGTCTCCCATTTCGGAGCAAATGTCGTGGAGATGATGTCAATAAACGGGACGACCAATTGCTTGATCATATCCCCAGCTAGGGGGAGCAGATTGTCGCGATTTTCCTCGTTCACTTCATAGCAATGGATCAGCTTGATACCAGTTTCCTGAAGGTATAGATTTATTAAATCAATTTTAGTGATACTTACATCATATCCGTAGAACAGCCCGCGAAAGTATTTGCCATCTTTGTTTTGGATGATGGTTTCTTTTCCCTAAATTGAAGTTTAAGTAATGATTTTGTAAATTTTTAAAGTTTATATGGTACTGAAACTATTAAATTTAATTAGGTATATAAAACTTACCTTTGCTGCTTCCCAAATTGCCGAAATCTCTCTCGAGGCCATCGCTCTTCCGGAAGACTTTGCCCAGTTGAGTGGGGTTTGTCGGGGGGTTGGTCGTTCAAGTTTCCACCGGACTGGCCAGTGATACTGAAATTTAAATATATTTCTTATAACTCTATCAAAAAGTTTTGTGCTAAAAGGTAAAAATCAAATCATTAAATAAAAATTGTAATTAACAAATATATGACGTATTTTGCTAAAAGGGGAGTAAATATCGGACGCACGGTAATTAGCTAAAAAAGCAATAAGTGCAAGTTACGACTGTAAATTTGAATATAAGTACTTTTAATAAGAATGATAATATAGTCAGAATATTCTTAATCCCGTATCAAAAAAAATTCCAATATTTTTTATTCAAGGTAAGCCAATCTCGGACGCAAGGTAATTATAGCAAAAAAAGAAAAAAACAAGAGGATTTTAACACTGTGATTTGAATATAACTAATACTTGTAAAACGTAAATTAAATATTTAATCGAAAAGCTTAACTACCAATTTAAGAGTCATTTTCTTAAAGTTCAGTCAATATCGGAATTAAGGTAATTCAAGCAAGAAAGCCAAAACGGTAAGTTGAAAATTCGAATAAAACTAACACCTTTAAGATGTAGACTAAATAGGTATGTATAAATCGTAACTAACAAATTTAAGCGCTATTTTCTGACACCTTCGCAAATATAGGACGCAAGGCAGTTGAAGGAAAAACGGAAATTTTCAAATGCCAGGCGTTTTTTATGGAAATTAACATTTTTGAATGGGAAAATGAGTGATAGTGATGGGGTATCTGGGGGTGGGAACAGATGTGCGCGATTGTGTGTGGGCTGTGTGGGGTTAAGAGATTTGTGTTTGGTTGAGGTGGACCATGCCCGGCGGGCACCCCTAGGCAATAGCGTATTGATGGCGCCAGATGGGTACGGTAACTCCTGGGCCAAGGGCACGCTATAGGCGTCGGGGACAACTGGGGGTGGGCCAGCGGCTAAACTACGCGATGTGGGGTCGGTTTTTGAAGGAAAAATTTGATTAAAAAATGTAAAATAATGTCACAATGAAAGCACGAACGGGACAAGAAAATTAAGAAACTAAATTAAACTAAACTAGATTTATGAAATAATAAACTAAATTAAACTAAACTCACTAAGAACTTAAAACTGTACTTGAAAACTGTAAAACAATATTATGAGAAAAGCACGGGAAGCACAAAAACAATTAATAAACTAAACATGCTAATTTTCAAGCCTTTCCCGCGTCACTTTTTGAAGGATTAAGGAAAAGTGTACTTTGAAAACTCTTCACACCTGATAAGCCTAATTTGATATGAAAACGATGACAACGCGACGCCACAGGAATTTTTGAATTGAGCAACCGAAGGTGCTTGAGGAACCCTAGAAAACCGGAAGTAGCTTGTGTTACCGTCAAAATACAATTACCTAAGAAATCCAAAAATTCGCATTCACTCGGTAACTACTGTAATTTGTAACTTTCCAAAAATTCTGTAACGCCGCGTTTGACTACTGCCCTGAAAATGGCTTTAAAATTCAGCAATCGTCAGAAGGTAGTCAAATTCTATCGTAATTTTTGAAGAAAAAATCCGAGTTTATCGCTAAGCAAACCGATATCGTTGCTTTTCCCAAAACATCCTGCAAAGAATTCCCCCCATGGTTTTTGTTCCCCGAAGGCTCCAGACGGCTTATCAAATCTCGAAGGTGGGCGGCCGATTCATACGGAGTGGGTTGGGGTGAGTTATAGTAATCTAAAAAGTAAAGTGAGTAATTTTTCGGGAGTTTAAGGTGAGGGTAACCGGCTTGCGGTTCCGTTATAATCACTTTGTAATGGAAAATTCTTCAAGAGCAACTTACCGTAGTCGGGTTGATGCCGTTCGTCACTGTTCCTTTAAAATTCCACACGCGAACCGTCTTATACTACCAAATTTACTTATTTTTACAACTATGTTAAAGAATACCTTAGAGCTAGAAAGGATAGTACAGTAGCGGGATTTCTGAATTGTCTTCACTGTCTCTTTAAAAGTCATTGTTTTTAGGCGTTCTTAGGCTTAGCTTAGGCTTGTTTAGCTTAGGCTCAGGTTTAGGCTCTGCTTAGGCTGGGTTAGGCTTGGCTTAGGATTGACCTAGGCTTAACTTAGGCTTATCTTAGGCTTAGCTTAGGCATAAGTTCCGTTTTCCGCAGAGCGATCCATTGGCGCCCCCATACCTTCAAAGATGAATTTGTTTCCACCCACGTCATCTCTCCTATTTTTAATGCCTTCATTTCGAACGCATCCCAAAAAAGAATTAGAATTCCATGGCGTTGGCCCCACAGGTTCGGTGTCCCATCTTGCTGCGATCTATTTGTTTATGAAAGCTATGAATCACATTCTCCCGCCAGCTCTCACTCAGCCTGCCCCCAACCTCGCCCTCTTCTCCTTCAGACCTTTCCGACCCAACTGAAAACCTCTCTTTTTACTGCAAATATTCCGGGCCGATCGGTTCTGCAATATTTCACAATCCGTGGATCGGGTTGTTTCCATTTCCCTTGTTTCCCGCTGATTGTTTACCCGATTTTAGTGCGCAGGGTTTGGAAAGGGAAAGCTGTATTTCGGTAGTGATTCCTATTTTACGCCCCCTAACGCTTATCGGTGCTAATCAATCGTTTATGCGAAGTTTGGAAAGGGCCTGAAAAAACAGAGCTCGCCCAGCTGGGGGTCGAGTTTTGGAGTGTTTTGTTTGACTTGTCGGCCCTGGTTTTAGCGTTGATTTGGATCTCATTTTTTCGGGGCTACTTTTTAGTCTTGGCTGCGTTTTAGGGAACCCGCATCCCGTTATCAGAAATCGCCACCCCCGGAAAGGCCTTTTTGTTGGCCCGAGCGTGATTTGGGAGAGATAATTGGTCTTTCCGCGGAACGCCACATCATTTTTGGTAAAGGTTTTCGGTTTTTCCGTCTGATTGCTGTGATTTTTAAATTTTTAAATTAATTTTTTGGTACTTTTGCACTATCGGGCGTGTAGCGAAATTTTTTTGTATAGGTCTAGAAACACCCAGTAGCGCATCTTAATTGTGTCATTAGTAAAAGTAACTATTTTTAATGTGAAAAACTATCTTAAAACTTTTAAAATTCTTAAAAAGTGTAATTCTTAGCGAAAAATCGCATTTTTTGTATTTTTTTATGAAAATTTGTAAAGTATTTACGTTCGTAAGAATATATTTTATTAGTATTGTTTGAGTAAAATATGTATCAACTGGAAAACCACCTATGAAGTAAAAAATCGAAAAACCTTCAGAAACACTTTGCTATTTATATTCGGAAAAATTGGATCTTTCTGAAAACGCTGGTCCTACGCGACCACCCCCCCCCCCCACGGATAATGCAAAAGTTCTTAATTTGTCTTCCTTATTTTACATTTTAAACATTTTTTCCCTATATACCTTTAAGGCGTCTATGTTTCAATGCAAATCTACAGCGATGTAGACCCTTACGACGTGCCCGAGCCGTTCAGGGCGTGCGAGAGCATTTTTCGCGTCAAGGATTTTCAGGTTTAAACTTTAATCTAATCAGAATCTAGCTGATTTTTATAGTATGTAGAATGTATACCAAATATTACTACTCATGATACGCCTTGCGAATTATTGAAGGTATTTTTAAGCACATTAAAACAAGTAAAAATCCAATTTTAGGAGCTTCATCGAGCCAAAGATTTTCGAAAGTACTTCCTCGCCATATTGCCTATAATTTTCTCAATAATTGCATTAATATTAAATGCATCCTATTTAACGATTCACTTTTTAGTATTTCGACAAGAGAAATATTCGTAAGTTTGTTAGAAAATTAGACCATTTTTAATCGATAATTTAGATATCGAAAACGGGCCCTATTCCTGCTGTCACGAGCGATCTCATCTGTCACCGCGTTAATACTCTTTTACGTCGTTTTAATCGTCTGGAAATCCCATGGTTTCATCTACAGCTCTGTCACAATATTTATCATGGTTGGGTCGTTGGAGTTTTTGTCGATAACAGGTTAAATTTAAATTAAACTTTAAAAATAGGTAATTCAGGGACCTATGTGGTTTTAACGCTATTGTTATACACCGCCATTACCCGGCCGTTTATCTATAAAACGCAGATTAGAATGCGGCACTGTATTGCCGGGGTTATCACAATTTGGACCGTTTCGGTTGCTGCTTCGGTATGCAAATTTTAGGAGCTTTTGCATTGTCTGGGGGATATCAGAGGAAAAGCCACTTTTTCTCAGGATTTAATTCTTCTCCTAAAATATGGAGGCGTTTATAAACTTAGTTTTGCTATTCCTAAACGCAAAACTTTGCAAATTTTGTAAAAAAATACAGGAATATCGATTTTTCGACAAAAATACCGATTTTTGCAAAAAACGTCGATTTTTGAGAAAATCGAAAGTTTTTAGATTTTTTCCACTGGAATTCTAATTGGTTCTCCCCCCCGATAATGCAAAAGCACCTTTTATTCATTTAAATTTTCATATCCAATTTTCCAGATTTGCATTGGTATCTGGGGTGCTACGTTATTCTATCCAGAATCTGCCGCCGTCAGCTGTTCATTTGACTACTGTCAAAAACCGCTAGCTATCGGTATTGTAGTCATTTTTAACGTTAAAAGTTACCATGTTGTAGTTGTCCTGATCCTGTTAATATTTTCCTATACTACGGTACTGGTGCTATATTTCTTTTTAATATTACGTTTAAAACGACGTTCTTCAGCTGCGCATTTACAGGTAAGAAAAGTATTGATTTAATTTCTATCTACTTCAATTTTAATTTTTTTATACTTTTAAATACGCAAAATTAGTTAAATTTTCTAAAATTCAGCGATCCGCCTCGACCGGAAGCCAAAAATCCAGTTTACGGGCCCTAAATAGACTCGGCATGAACGTGGGGACGTTTGCGCTTGGCAACGTGCCCATTGTGGTTTGTAAAACGCATTTAAATCCAAAAAAAATTAATTTAGATAATTCTCCTAGTTGCCGTAATCAACCTAGAAAAACTATCATCATTAGGTGAGGGCAAAAAGGTAATTTCAAACCCCTTTAAAATTACCCAAATTTTTAGAGTCACTGTAAAACCTACCTAAATTCAAAGCTATTTGTTGAGGTTGAGATCCTGGCCAGTTGCGCGGCTATAATTTGGTATGAAAACCATTTTCGCTATTTTATTTGATTTTTAGGCTTTTCGCGATGATCCTGGACCCGGTGATCAACGTAATTTCCGACCCAAAAATGCTGGCCCTGCTAATAAGGGGCTTCAAGTACGTCAGAAGGAGGGTTTTGCGGAGGGAAAACGAGGAGAAGGATGACGTCAAGCAGGCCGAGAATAGCAGCCAGTGATGGAAAGAATTATAAAATAAATTTATTCTTTCTAAAGCGTGCCCTGGCAAGTAGAGATCTGTGGTAGAGACGACGGATAGCCTTTCGATCTGAAGGTCCGAGATTGGGATGTCCAAGTTTTCTAAAAATTGGATAAATCTCGGGTTCTTTGGCAATATCAGGGCGGGTCCAGATACTTTTTATTTTTGAACAATACTTCTAAAGTTTTTTCGTTTAGGACTAGTAAAAAGCCGTTGAGAAACACCCTTTCTATTTATATTCGAAAAATTTTCCCTTTAAACCCCCCCCGATAATACAAAAGAAGCAAATCTGGCTTTACTGTAACGGTATAATAGTGATAAATGTGGTAATATATTACCTGTAATAAATATTCATAATCGAATTCGATTTTCTGAGATGATGAAGCCCAAGAACATGGCCAATTTCATGGAGTAACACCTAAAAATCGTTGTTTTATATTTTTTAAGCTTAAAATTCTTATTTTAGAGATAGTTTGCAATGTAAACTATTGTAAAAACTCTTACTGTAGGCAAATGTAGTCGATCATCATTACTCCTCAACATCGTCCAAGACTAAAAAACGTGAAAAACTCGTTTAAAACACCTCATCAGCGTCCAAATGTACAATCCCGACTGGAGGATACCCCGAATGAGCAACGGTTCCGCCTGGACCATCAAAGGCTTCACCATCTCCTTAAATAACAAAAATTTTACATATTTAAGGATACGGTAACTACCATGATTCCCTCTAGCAAACGTGAATTCAATATCAATCCACCAGGGTTTACTGTAGTCATTTGGCAACAACCCAAACTTCTCATTCTCCTCTTCCGTAATTTCCACAAATACCATCCGACCTTTCAGAGCTAATGCCCATTCTGTCAATGCAGATTTTATCGCTCTCCTAAAGCAAAGTTCACGCTCCATCCCCATGCACAATTTGTTTACCTGACCGCCAAAGAATGGGCCGGTGATTTGATTAATCCCTGTGGATCTCGCAGGGTCCAAGTGAGAACGGATGAATGCCAGATTGACCTGCCTATTTCAAGAAACAGCTTACCCAAAACCAAAGCTCAAATTCACGTACTTCTTAGCCGGCTTAGCCCAGCTGCCGTGAGACCCCTATAAGCCGGAGGGGATTGTCAACGGGGATCAGAATGGAAAAACTGGCTACCTGGATTGGCCGAAAAATACAAGGAGGATTAGAACGGTCGAGAAAAACGGGGCTTCCTGGCTACGCTTCATACATCTAAAAAAATGGGGGTAAAAGGTTACAATAAAAGATTTTGGAGCGGAAATTTTGGTTCTGAAATTCGTAGAAAATATAAATATGGAGTTTTTAGGGTGAGGATCAGAACAGAAGCTAGTAGTTTGGCTAATAACGACCTAAATAAATGAAAATAGTGAAAATAGGGTGTAGAATTGAAAAATAAAATAATTGTACGCTCAAAACGTAATTGAGAAATACACAGAAAAATCAAATTTCATAATTGGGTCGTAACGGGCGGTGCGGCTAGGGAATCCCAAGTTTTTGTTTTCGAATAGTTGCATTGGGCTAGAGGTTGCTTGAAATATCACAATATTAGAATAGTAAACTAGATGTTTTAAATCGAGAATCGACCGGCCGCAAAATAGGTCCCAGAGGGTGTGGCCCTCCCCCCGAAAAGTCGATGCAAATTTTTGTCCGACCCGATCTACGCCTCTAAAAGAGGACAAGACCAGGTCTTCCAAAAATTAGCACCGACTTCCCGGAGGAAGGGTTTTTGCTTTTTATTGAGTGAGATTAGAAGGCTACACTGTGGAGTGGTCTTTCGCTCCGAACCTCAATCACAGGGGTGGTCCAGGCGGAGGGCGAGTCGGGACAGGGCGGGAAGCATCCGGAGAACGCACAGGCAGTAGCTCTCTGGGTCCTACTGCCCCAATAACACTCGTTTTTCATACTAACTATCAGGACACAATGCAGTTACTAGGATACTATAATTTATTACTTTTTAGAAGCTGAATTACACTAGAATAGGATAAAGCTAAATTTCGGCACTCGTAATGGATAAAAAAGCATACATTGTTCAAAAAATGCGTTTATTAATAAAGGAATTTGATCAATTTGTATGCCGAATATTTCCTAATAGAGTTTGGTCATGCCAAATATTGCAGATGCAACGTTTAAGAGCTAAAAACTATATTAAATAAAATCTAAGATAAAGATCTATGCCTAAAAATCAAAAAATTTCGGGTTTCTAAGGGCAAAAAATCAAAATAAAATTAGAAATCCGGACTAAATTATACCTCTAAAAGCGAAAATCGAAAGATTGACTGGAATTAGTGAATTAGAAGATAAAAAATCCCTCTAAAAATCAAGACTAATCTTAAAGAGATGGAAATATCATAGAGGCAAAAAATTTGATCAAGAAATACATTGAAAAAATTAAGATAACGGATTAAGATTAAATCGAAATCCCACTAACGAACTACATCAAAAAGTGAGGTATCTAAAGGCCTTAAGGCTTAGAGTTTAGGAATTCTTATAAGCGTCTAATTATAACCCCGAAATCCCGATCAACAGGGCAGCCAGCCAACAAACTAATGGCGTTGCGCAACTGGCAGAAAGAGGCCCGCCGAAAACGAGATTTTCCGGAGGCGTTTTTGAGGCCTTAAGGGAGGGATTCAGCCGGTTCTCGTGTCTTATCTCCATCCATCCCCCCCTCGCTAGCAAGCATTTTCACAGCCGTTTTTCCCGGTAGCCCTCCTCCTCCTCTTCATCTCAGCCTCCAATGGCAAGCCGGATTTGAAAAGGAAAGAAACGCGAGGCATCCAGTGAAATTTCGGGCTTGGCGGTTGGGTGTGTCTGGATGGGAGAATGCGATCCTTAATTCTTAAGACTAATAAAATATATACATTTATTCTGCACTAAATACTGTACAAGTTACAATCGACACGAATGGAATCGGAAGCAGAAGTAGAAAACGTACTAAAATGCCGTTGCCAACTACCGTAATTAGCGCTACCGTAGACTAGAAAAATCGAAGATAATTATATACATTTATTCTGCACTAAATACTGTACAAGTTACGTTCGAGTCGAGTGGAATCCAAGAAAAAAACAAAAAAGACTAAAATGCCGTTTCAATACCGTAATCAGAGCTACCGTATGCGACGAAGACGAAAGTCGAATAATAAATGACCAGCGCCCAAAACCCGCTTCGCGGGCCTTGGGCGCTGGAATGCGGCCTTTATATGAAAATTTTGACTTTCTGATAGCTCGGGTGCTGCGGACCCCCACCCCCGACCACAGGCGCGAGTGCAACTGGCAAGAATGAGGAAATTTGTATTTTTCGCATTATGCAAATTAGCCCTTAGGTACCCAAAAAATGAATAAAACCGGCTTTAACTTTGTAAACTTGTATTTTATCGAAATTCTGAAAACGCCATTGGAAACAGAAGGGTCGATTTCCCCAAGTGACGGAAAATTAGAGCATTTTATGCACGGGAAGGCCCTCAAATCGGGCCTTGAAAGTGACATCCACACACACACACAGTTACACGCCAAAATTATATAAGGTAGGATATATACACTTTATGATGCAGGGAATACTGTACAAGTTACGATCGAGTCGAATGGGATCGAAAAAGAATAAAACTCAAAATGCTGTTAACTACCGTAATCAGAGCTACAAGGTGCTAAGAAGACGAAAATTTGGGAAATCGGCACAATCCCGACAGACACAATACCGAAATCCAGAATCCTGGCTTGTCGGGACTTTGGCTGTCGGTATTTTGACTCGAAAATCCAATTAAAAACACAACAAAGCAAAGCAACTGTTGAAAATTTAAAATCTCGAGATATTAAATATGAAAGAGTGAGGTGTTAGTAAAAAAATCCCAATTAAAAAGTATGTTTCCAGCCGGTTCAACGATGAGGAATTTAGAACAACAGATAGGTGAAACAAATCAACAATAATTTACGATCTAAAAAGAGCTAAAACAATTCATAACTGAACAATTTTCATAAAACAAAAACAAAACAGTTATGGAAGCGGCTGCATCCCCTTGAGGCCGTCGACGTAGAACTTTTTGGCTGGCTCCCGTTTCTGCTTCCTCGACTTGTTCCGGCGCTGGTTCCACAGATCCGTCTTTTTGGGTCTGAAATAAACTCGAAATATTGATTTTAATTTACATAGTTTCTGCATTTAAAAATTTATAGCTTGTATTTTAAACTGACAGAGGAGGTGGCGGAGGCGGTCGAGGCGCCGACCTCGAAGCGGTCTCGGCGCTGGCGGCTGGTACCTGAAAGTTTAGTTTTTAGGTATATCAGGTATTTTGTTCTTACTATTATTTTCATTTTCTACTTCAATTTACTATACAAATGTTATCTAAAACTTACCGATGCTTCGGGTACGGTACGCTCGACTTTCGGCATTTTCTTAAAATACGCGTCGGCTGGTGGCAGCCGAGGATGGGAATGTGTGTACTCATGTCCCGAATACATTTTCGGTGGCGGTTTCGGCTTTTCCTCCACAGATTTCAGGGCTTCCCGCATCTCCCGAAAAGAGAGGCCCGAGCGATCCACTTGTTGCTTCGTCGGATCCACCCCGTTCGGCAACTTCTTTATCTGAAACTCCGGCGGAACAACTGGAGAACGTACTTTTAGGCCCCAAGCGTTTTGATTTTCCGGCTGAACCGGAAGTGGCCGAGTGGAGGATGGCTCATGAGGGGCATCATCGGCCTGTTCCTTCACGTCCTGGTTGGCGAGCCAATTTTCGTACAAGAGGCTCCTAATGTAAGCGTTTTGCTCTTCGAGGTATTTCTTAGTGAGGAGGGTGGATTGCAAGATGCGGGGTAATGGTGGGAGTTCATAGTTTTGCCCTTGGAATAGGTTTCTAACGTATTGTAGCGCTGGCTGAGGGGCTTTTGGGAGAGGAGCTTGACTGGAGGAGCATCTGCTGGGTTGCTTTGAGGACTCTGTTTCTGAAAAAAGGTTAATCTAAATCTAATAAAGTTATAGCCTCAAATAGATGAATATTTTCATATAATTTTAAAATACCTACCAGATTTCTCCGGTTTTTCATCTATTTTTTGTTTTACCGATGATTTTGGCCCGGTATGTTGACGGAGAACTAAAATTGTACATAGTCTTGCTAGTGAAAAAGGTAACAGCTGTGATAATAATCTTGAAAAATCGCGTATAGAACCTAAAAACACGTTTCTGCTCTCAAAAATTACCCTCTTTTCCAGATTTTTCCTCCATTTTACGTTTTACGATGCATCTCCAGCTACAAGAGCTTGACTGCAAGCTAAAAACAGATAATAACGCTTTGAAATTTACTCTCAAATCAATAATTAGCTTCAAAACGTCATAGAAAATCTGCAAAACACGCGTTTTACCCTAAACTTCTAAAGTTCAACGATCCTACCCTCTACAATCGCTTAAAAATAACTGTGCAAAAACTGCAGTTTTTCATCTGGCAGATCCGGCCTAAAATGAGAAAACGTTGGAAAGGGCGTGCAGGGGGATTTGAGGGATTTGAAGGATTTCATGGGTGACCGCCGGGGCTTCCGGAAATTGTGTTCGCAACTGTGGGTGTGGCGGGAAGTGGCTATATCCGCTCTCCCGCAGCCCTTCTTCCGGTAATTAGGGGTGGCCGCTGATCGGGAAACCCAAGAAAAAGACGAAAAATTGTAGCAAGCCGGCCCAGGCTCCCTCAATCACGCGATAAATGTGAAAAAATACGTAATTACGTGTTTTTACGAAAGCAATTTATCGCAAAACACCCGTAAGAATAGAAAGACTAGAAATCGGTAATGTCAAAATAGTTCTTAGTAATAATAATACAATTTCGACGCTTTTAACGTCTATAATAGTCTATGTTTACTCCATATTGGTTGATAAACCGGCGCCTGGAAGCGTGTGCGCTGGTTGATGATTCTTTTCGCGGCCGGAGCATCTGAAAATATAGAACTAACCTAATAGCTAAATCCGTACCCGGCGCAATGACCGTACTTCTTTGCTCCACGCATTGTGTGTTGTGACTGGTGGCGAAAGCTGCGTGTTTCCGGATCAGATGGGTTCTGCGGGACTAAAGGGCTTCAAAAATCTACACTTCTTTTTGGGACCTACGTATGGGCTTCCGATATTTTGGCCGCAAACCAGGCAAAGGCCCGGGTCGTGCCCACGACGGTTGGCTTGATGCGAGTATGACATATGGAAGGCAAGCACCTAAATAACGTCGCTGATCGATCTTTTATTGGCGTAGCAAAGCCGCATTCAACTTTCATTAGGGTAGAAAATCCGCATGTTTTTCTTATACGCGTAGATAAGCCGCAAAACCAAACCTGCAGACTTCCAAAAGTACGCCCGCAGAGCGGCTGCAAACATAGCATCGTTGTCACGTCACAATCATCACACTTTTCCAATCGTTCCTTAATCGACTCGTCGCTCATCGATTCTTGGGTGCACCTTCGAACGGACCGCTGAAAACTTTGCTTGCTAACGTTTTGCGTTTTGTTAGTAATAGCGTAAATTCTAGGCTCGAGATCATAATTTCTAGATACAAACCGCAACCGTTCCATTCTTTCCATATCGACCGGCAACCTCTCGAACATACTGTGTAGCCGAATCCGCGGACAATGGTGGTACCTCCTTGGGCGCTGGTCGCTCTATCAAGCGAATTGGAATGGTGTCCTGGAATTTGCTGGCGGTTTGTCGATGTTACCTTTCTTTTGTTCTTCAATTCGATAGCCTTCTGTGTTTCTGAGGGCGGTGGGACAGCCATTAGTCGAAATACTTCTTATCTATTATTTCCAAGCCTTTCGGCCGGGTGCTAACGCCTCCCCAACAAAGCGCCGCATGAGGACGTCAAGAGGAGCACGTGTACTGCCTCTATCTAAACCGGAACTTTAGCGCTGTGTGGTGCGAAGAACAGTTCCACCAGATCGGGTTGTTGAATAAAGTGTGATTGGGTTCCAAAGACCTTTTCAAACGCCGCAAAAAGCCTTTATAGAAAAGCAACTAAAGGCACGGTGAGCGGGTTGACGATGAGGAAGTGAATGCGTATATACAATCAATCAAAGGCACACAACCGCGATTTGACTATCACGTCACAAAGATGAAACTGGGGGTGAGTTAACGGGGGAGGCAAAAAAAGACAGACTTACGAGCGTGGACACGAGTGTCTTGGGGTTAAAGCCATGAATCACAGAATCGACTAGGAAATTAGTTTAAAAATGCTTGAAATATTGCTAGAAATGGAAGATTTAAGAAACGTTTAAACCTGCCCAGAAAGAAAACAGATTTGAGCTGTTAATAAGAGAGCGCGGAGCAGTTCGACATAAAGGGAATGCTGAACGTACTACTAATAGTTAGTAGAAATCTTCTAGGCTCGCCAGTTGCCACGGTTGGGTGGTGGTGGAAGGGCATCGAAGCTTTGGAACTTGAAACGGTCGAGCGGATGGGCGACACGGTGTGGTTGATAGCCGTTGTTTGATTCCTTCACCATTGTTGGCCGGTACTGCGTTTCATGTACAGCAGGCTGAAAAAAAAGGATGTATCTATGAAAAGAGAAGACGAAATTACCCGAGTGTGGGTTTGAAAGCCTTGCTTCGGCATACTGGCAATGCGGGGCGGTGGAGGTGGGACCATGTCAGACCGCTGTTGATAAGCGTTCGACGAAAAAGTCGGTGGAGCTGCAGCTGGGATGGGAGGTGGAGGCGGCGGTGCAGACGTCTTCTGGAAATATCAGGATTAAAAAACATAAAAATATGCTGTTTATTAAAAAATTTGCGCCGAGCGCTATAATACTTCGTCTATTTTCAGCGTTTGTGAGGCGATAGAGGGAAAGTTCTGAACAAAAAACGTCTTTCAGAAATTGCTGGCGGTAAAAGTATTAGTTAAAATTCCCTCTGAAACGATCGATGGCTGTTCTTTCGCCCCTATTAGCCAAATATCAGCTTTGAGAAACCATTCTAGAAGATAGTGATCGTTCAGCTATTCTAAAAAATCGGCCTCTGAGAATTTCAAGCTTCGCAGAATCAGCTGTCAAGTAATGAAACAGCTTTATCACCTAAAAACCGCACCCCGTCTAAGAACAGCTTAGTATCAATCCTATCTTTGCGCTAGCTGAAAGTTCTTAACGAATCCCATATTTCAGAAACTGCTGAATGCTAACGGTCTCAGGTAAAAATTGGATCTGAAAGATCGATGATGTTGATTTTTGGCCCTTCTTAACAAAATATAAACTATCAGAACCTTGCTAGAAGATCATGATCGTTCAGCAATTTCTGAAAGAACGGGCTTGTTCAGAGCCTGAAGCTCTATAGAATAAGCTATCTCACCTAGATAAACCGCTTATTACATTAAAAACCTTTTGTAAATAGCTCGGCGCCAATCGATTACGGTCCCGCTCTAATTTAGACGGAAACAATGACACGGCTAGAACTAGACAAAACGTTCGCCTGCCAAGCAATTTTGGTGTTTCCGGACATTAGACGAAAATTAAAAGCAACCCAAAACAAAAGTGCTATTGCACAAACTCTACCTGCTTTTGCTGCATAGGCTGTGGCGGAGGAGGGGGTGGTGGTGCTTGCGGGCGCATGTAGGCGTTCGTCCGAGCGACGGGCGGCTTGTCCAGGCCTTCCGAGCTTCCACTGCGTGCCATCAGCTCCGGAGTCGTTTCCCTGTTTGATGTCGGGCGAAGCGTGCGAAATTGGGGCCGTCCAGCCGGAGCTTCCGTTGCCGTAGGTTTGAACTGTAAAAACAGTTCTTATCAAAGAATGGATCAAAAGCTCCCGAAGAAAAGGCCTGAACGAACGAACCGGTGGTGGTGGAGTTGGAAGTGCCTTTGAAGCGGATGGCTGGGGCTTGGAGGATTGTGGAGGTACGCGGGGAACATCAAACTTTGCCGCTGCTGAAAAATAAATAGTATAGTGGTGATTATGATGACCAAATAAGTGATTTAGACAGCAAAAAGCTCACCATTGTTGAAATTATTGGCAGGTTTGACGGGAGCCATTGCCACGGGTGGCGGCTTCGGTGCAGCATTGAATTCGGGCCTCGTATTTGTACCTTCCAACTATAAAAATGGAGTGAAATCAAAACGCCATTATAATACCCTCTTCTGTCGCGCTTCGCTCGGCTTGGATGGCATGCCATTGCTGAAAAGGCCTCCCAGTCCCATCGGCGGGCCGCCTTTGCTTGGTCCATTCGAACCACCTAAATGAAGATAAAATCGAACCAAGAAAGGTATACAAACCTGGTGGTGACGGTCCTCGCCCGCCGCTTTCTGCATTGTTGCCACTGTTACTTGGTCCCTTCCCGGACACGAGCGGTGCTGAGCGATCGTTGGTTACTGTCTAAAAAGAAATGAATCTATTAATGCTTCAGACCTTCTTTAGCCGAGCTCCTCCGCGAATCTCTGACAACAGGGCGCCGCGCCCATCCCCGGAAGATGCCTTTGTTGGTGCCGCGGCCTAAAAAAGATACAGGTAAACAGTTATTGCAAAAGAAAATCCATTAGGAAGTTAAATCTAACCTTTGGTGGCCCAGGGGCCATCGGCGGCGGAGGAGGTGGAGGTGGGGGTGGCGGGGCCGGCATCTGGCAGGCTGAAAAAGTAAAATAAAAAGTTTATTGAACGAATTTAGCAATGTTAGAGCGGAAGGGTAAAGTTATAAACGGGAAAGTGACGAGGGGGGAGGCTATGAATAAGAGCCGCAACGCCGAAAGGGGCACGCGTCGCAATGCACTTCTCAAGTTGGGGTCACACCTTTATCATATGTTTTAGCGAGTCGGCGAACTTTATCTGATCTTTTTTGTGTTTTAAAATTGTTTAATTAATTTTAGAATGTTAGAAAAAAACAAACGCAGCGCTAATTTAACGGTTTTTGCTAAAAAATGGTCATGGAGAGCAAATTTTCGCGATTTACTTCTCAAAATACCGAGAATTTCTCTTTTTTTCCGTCGCATTTTCATATTCTAGGTTGTAATGTCTCTACCATTTATGAAAACCAAAGTTCCCTATTGGAAATAAGCTGTTTTCGCCCCAAATTGCCAAGGGTTTGAACGGTTTGTTGAATTAAAATGAAACAATACGAATAATTATCTTTTTTTTTGCCCCGGAACCTCCGTAGTCTAGCTTGTAGTCCTGCCGCGGTAGGACCGCTTATGAAAACAAAGGCCCCAGCAAACAATTCGGTTTTTTTCGCGAGTAATATACAAGGTTTTTTCGGGATTTATCTATTGTTTGCCCTTTCCTTACATTTCTTGGTTCTATACCGGCAGCGGGGATTTTTCCAGGAATCGGGGATTTTTCCGGGAATCGGGGATTTTTCCCGGAATAGGGGATTTTTGGGCAGGGATCACCGGAATCGGGGATTTTTGACGGAATAGGGGATTTTTCCCGGAATCGAGGATTTTTCCCGGGATCGGGGATTTTTAAAAACGGGAAAATTGGCCGAATTTTGGGGCAGTCGAAATCGGGCGCCGCGACACTTGCGCCCGACACTTGCGCCTGACATTTGCGCCGCGATACCGAGATTCAGCTACTTGAAGATGCAATTTTTCGCGCAGAGTATTCTGGTTAAAGAAACGATAGAAAGATGGTTTTGCGCTAGGAGTCACTCGATTTGGAGGGAAGGTAATTGCTACTGCTTCCGCTCTGCGACTAGAAAAAGGCTTCGTGCCACCCGGGGCCTAGTCGCTTCGGATGGGTGCGAGCTCGTACAGGGTTTCGAGATCGGGGCGCCCGAGGCGCGCGTAGCGGCCAGGCGCCCCGATTTCGAAAGAGTGGAGCGGCAGCCCATCCGAAGCGACGGCCCACCTTGCCTGACGCCTTTTAGGAGCGCTCCGAATTGGCCTTACTCACTTTCTGTCAGCTTTTAATGCAAAATACAGTAATTACATACAAAATTCGCGCGAAATACCAAATTCGCTACAGTTTAAATCAATATACGATCCGCGGCGCAAGTGCCGGGCGCAAGTGTCGCGGCGCAAGTGTCTGGGAGCCCCCCAAATCGCCAATTCAAAAATCCCCGATTTCGACTGCCCCAAAATTCGGCCAATTTTCCCGTTTTTAAAAATCCCCGATCCCGGGAAAAATCCTCGATTCCGGGAGAAATCCCCTATTCCGTCAAAAATCCCCGATTCCGGTGATCCCTGCCCAAAAATCCCCTATTCCGGGAAAAATCCCCGATTCGCGGAAAAATCCCCGATTCCTGGAAAAATCCCCGCTGCCGGTATAGAACCCATTTCTTCCCCCTTCAATGCATAAAATTAGACCCCGCTTCCACGAGGACCGCTGCAAGCAGGTCACCTGTTCGGAATTTCGCCGAAAGGGTGCTAAAAGGTGGGGCTTTTTGCTGTTCCACATTTTCAAGGCCGCGCGAGACTCTTGGGGCAACTCTCTGAACTCACCACTGCGCTTTTCGTCTCCACAGCTTCTCTGTGTTTATAATAAGCATCATTGCCCACCAATCAAACGCTCCTTTTTCGTCGCGCTGTTAATTTGTGTGCCAACCTGCCGGAATGTAGGTGCTTTTGGTGACAGGCGGTCATCGGGCGTGCCACTTGTCAGTTTGTTCGTTCTCTGCCGACTTTTTCATTGCCTTTCGCGCAGCCACCATGTGACGAGCATGAGGGGGGATACCTTTTATTAGGTGCATTGGACGCCGCGTGTGCGTTTGCTTCCCTGCTTTTTTTCCTGACGTTTTTTCTTGAAGCATATTTCCTTTTATGTCTTTTTTTTCCTGTCTTATTTCTTGCAAATCATCTTCAAATAGTGATTTTCTAGACGGCCGGCCCTAACTTGATGGTTGTCGGCGCCAGGACGTGCTTCCCGCTGGCCGGGGGGCTGATCCTCGGCATTTGCATGTCGATAATTCTCTTTCCTCCGGAAGGATTGGAGCCGAAATGCAAGACCGACACTCAAGCCAAGTATGACCTTTTGTAAAATACTGACCTTTGCTTTTTTAGCGAGCCGATCGACTCTAGTGAATTCTGGAAGGTCCGTTTGGAGCAGCCACCACCAGTCACAAAAAGCCAGGATCCACAGCCAAAGGTAAACACCGAATTTGGTTTTTAAAAGGTTTTATTAGGTGGTGAGGGCACGATTCGCTGCAACTGAGCTGGGAACTCGCGAGCGGCTAGCCGTGCTGATTCTAGCTGAATCTACACTTTCGGTTTCATTGAATGCTTCATTGGCGCGGCACGTTGAGCGGGTACGTTACCAGAAGACTTCTGTATATGAATCATATAGGTACACGTCTTTGCTGATGCTTCTCGTGTTGATTCCGAGCTGTCTGGATTCGCCAATCTGTCCCCATACCGAACGGAAGGCCAACACTCTCATGCGCCGATTCTGCAAGCCATCCAAAACTTGGTAACCATGATTTTTCATTATGATCACCAAGAGTTTAAGCGGAAACTCCCAGATGGAGGATATTAGGTAACAACCCCGTTGTGCTTGTTGCTTATTGTCAATGCCTTTTGAAGTTAGATGTGGTAATCGTGGTTGATTTAGTCGCTGCACGAGAAGTACGACTGGTTCCTGTTGGTCAAAGATTCTACCTACGTCAACCCGTTTCACCTGTATCGTTTCTTGAATCAGGTATCACCACCGACTAATGCCTATTTATCCAATTTAGGTTAACTGGAATGAACCGGTGCTGATTGGCTCGCCAACAGATAGTGGAAGCTGTCAACTTGATGCCGCAGTTTTGCTGTCGTTCCCCGCAATGAAACGATTGATAGAGTACGCGGGATTCTCCTTCTATATGCAACTTTTATTAGTAACCGAATACGGTGCCGGCCAATTGATACAACCCTGAGTGATGACGCCGCTTTCTCAATGTGTATTCAAGCAGCAACCAATTTGAACTGTCAAGAGAGCCTGAAGGTTTGTCCCACTTTCTTGCGTTAGGTGTATATTTCTTCTCAGGATGTCCCTTTCAACGTTTGGCGAACCCCATCCACCATGGCTCCTCACGATGCTGTAGCAACCTGGAAGAATGATGAACGGTTTAACGAATCGATCACAGTGACTCATTTGCTGTCTCAAACTGACGCACGGGCCCTCCACGATCACTTTGTCCGGTGTGTTGACCACGAATTTAGATTACTTATTTTATTTTAGGGTCGAAATGGACCTAATGTCGACAGACATCTCGGCACTGACTAATGAAGTTGGACAGCTGTTCGAAGATACGTCAGATGGACCTTCATGGCCGGTTGCTGTACCAAAATACTCGACACCTCCAAACAGATATCAAGTAAAAAGACTGCGAGAATCCAGAATGCCTTTCTTAGGTTGCCACATGGGAATTCTTCACGTTGAAGGACATCTTTCTCAACGAACCCAATCAGAATGTCCGCCCATTGGAGGGGAAGAACAAAGAAGACGTGGACGAGGTTGTCGCTGCCGCCCGATCTTACGTTGAGAATTCGGCTAGCGGTGATCAGCTTGAATACCTACATATGAGAAATGGCTACAGGTATCGGGTTCCCCACTGGGCCAGGAAATGAACTTTTTAGACTCTTTGACCCCGTTCGCGGAATGGACTACGTGATCGATTTGGTGTACAAGGAGCTGGATCGCAGTGATGACAATCTTGTTTCCAAGAGGGTAACTTTAATTCTTCTAGTTTTTACTTGCGCTTTTAGATTCATCTCTCGCGGCCGATCGCCTCTACCCAATTGGTGCAACAAGTGCCCTACGTGAAAGAAGATACTGATATTGTCATCGTGGTGCCGATCCAAAGCGAAGAAGAGGTATTGCCCGCTCGACGCTTATTGGCTAGGTTTGTTGTCTGATCTGATAGACTCCTTATCAATGTTTGATCATATCACGTTTCATATTCCTTTTGTAGGCACGCTCGACTCTGCGTGGCACCTGTTGAAGAGACACGCAAGACTCGGCTCGTCATTATTAGCGGTGAAGGAGTCGACCAGCGCAGCTACAGCTACATTAACAACGACATTGAAGAGTTGAAGCGGCGTTGTCAACGCAGCTCGCTTGAAGCAGTCCAATTGCCATCCAAAACAAAGGAACCGTTCGCTGCCCATGCCCTGGACGTGGCTGTTGATCATTTTGGCTCTGCCAGCATTTTCCTCGTCCTATCACCATACGCCGATGTCCAAAAAGAATTTTTCGATCGCACCCGCATCAACACGATTAAAAAGTATCAGGTGGGATTCTTGATGCCTGTTTTTACGTTCCTTTCTTAGGTGTTCTTCCCGATACCGTTCGTCGAATACCATCCAACGATTTCGGGAATGGATATCGGAGACAACGAAATCCATCATTCCAATGACGAGGCTAGAGATGCGGCTTTTGCTCGACTTCGTGAGGCCACCCCTCCAAAGCGCAAGAAGCCATTGCTCGTACAGAAGGTTTGCAAAGCGCATTTTGGTTTCAGAACGATCTCGTTTTAGGAACACGGCCGTTTCGACTCCCTCGATTTCACCGTGTTCTCTGTGTACGGCGAAGACTATGTACAGTTCAGGTAATTTGTCGATGATTGGCGGAAACTGATCTTTAGGGATAAACTGGAGGCGAATCGCATGGACCTTGTGACGTTATTCTTGAGCCAAAAGGACGTTCACATCCTCCGTGCTATTGAGCCAACCCTGAGACTCCGGTTCGTCTTACCCATTCAGCCCTTTTTATTGATTCTTTAGGTACCATGCTCGCGCTTGCCCGACAGAATTGGCTGAAGAAGATTTTGCTCGTTGTGTGGCCAGCCGTCGCGAGAATGTGGCAGGCAAGGATCAGCTTGCCAGGCTACTCTTCCACGATCACTAACGGATTTTCTATTTTTGTGCTTTAGGATTATCGAATTTTTCCCCCTTGTGAATGTGAACAACTGTGTGCTTTCTTCCCCTCCCTTGTGATCTTCATGATAATACATTTTTGATCTGTGATTGATGCATTTAGCGCGTTCCTTCCCACTTCTTGCCCTTTACTTGTCTACTTGCCATTTTCAACTTTGTGCTTGTCGATAAATCTGCCATTTGTCGGCAGTTTTCATTGCATGATTCTCTAAAACGGCAAACCCACAAAACAGCATGGTATTTCCAGGTGCACGAACAAATGACACCACCCCTCGGCGGCGGGTGGTGTCGTAAATTTTAGATGTCCGCAGGGTGGATTTATGGCGTGGTGTGGCGCAAGCATTGACCTTTGGGCCCTAATTGAACGCTGATCCCCCATTACACTGGCTAAACTGGCCGCGTGTATGGCGACGGATATAGAGTGTGAAAGCAAGAAGCTAGTGTCGAGTGATTCCATCAATGAGCTTTCAGGTGAGCCTTGATCCCTGTCCTATTTCTTCCAGGATCGGCATGCTGTAGTGGCTCGAGTTAAGAATCAAGCAAGTCTGGGATCTATGTTGAATCCAGCAAGCCCCTCTCTATAACAACAATGCCAACACAAGACGTAGCGCTGCTTTCGACCAAGGCCGGACCCTTGGAGCAATTTTTGCTAATTCGAGGCCGGCAATTAGAAAGCGGCGGCCATTCATCGTTGTCACTGGAGAGGGCAATCCCAAGCAGCGGGCCGCTTTTTTCGATGCATACATCGGCCGAACCTGTCAGCCCGTCAACGCAGTCGGTGGCTGGATGCATTTGGCCAGGTGGCTGAGCTGTCGGCGCCCCTCAATTTCCAACCGTCACCCGGCTAACTTTATAAGGTCTGCGCGTCGGAGATGCCTGCTGTAGGTTTCAACGTTGGTCTCACGATGTACCATTGATGTCCAATATAACTGGCATGTGAAGCTAACATCAGGAAGGTTTTAAAACTTTTATTTAATCTCACAAAAATACAGACAAATAAAATCGGCCTTTCGCCCTCCACAAATCTTCATCCACGCGCGCTAGAGGATGCCCTCATCGTCCGACGCGTCCAGATTAGGCTAAAAGGAAACGATTCAATAAAGTTTCAGACAAGTCCACTCACGTCGATGGGGTGCCTAATCTGGAGCGGGGCGATGAGGGCGGCCAGGTCGTCGGCGTCGTGGGCGGCCGCGTTGACGTCGGCGTCGGCCATGTGGTCGTTGGTGGGGGCCTAAATTTTGATTAAACCAGCCACACACGAGCGCCAGAGGGCGCGTAGACCAAATTTCGCAACAAAAAAACCGACCGGGTAGAAGTTTGCGGGGCAGTCCCCGCTTCCGTCTTGCTGCTGGGCCATTTTTTAGTTTCTGGCTGCAGAAATGACAATGATTGGTTGCGAGAATGAACAAGAACCTTATTCGAAGATACAAATCAAGGAATTTGCTAATGACGTGACTTAAGCTAGGGTTCTTTACAATCCTTTAGGTAGAAGCCCTATGGCGCACTATTGTCCAAGTTCCGGAGCGTGCTGTACTGTCTGCGCAAGCCGGCTTTGCGAACGTTTAGCGCACTGACGCGTAGCCGAGGGATTGTAGTGATGTATAGTCGCGTTCTTTTACAGAATTTTAGGTATTTGTGCCCAGCGGAAGTCCAAACGAGCGCAAAATAGTGATTCGAAGCGAGAGCGTCAACGTTTTGGAGCTGCGAGGCCAGTGTTTTCGCGTTTTGCGCGGACCAGATGCATCTTGCGCAAATGATGCTAGCGGCTGTCAATTAGGTGCTTTGCGTAGTGAAGTATGGCTAAGGGAGCGTTGTATCGATAGGATGAGTTATGCTCAAATGGTTTTATTCCAGATTACAGGAAACGAAGGGCCAGTGCGGCGTCAGTTGGTGGTTGTCGTAGCCGTAGTGTTGTTGTTGTCGTAGTCGTTGGCTCAGCCGCGCAATGCTTGGTTAAAAAAGTAATTTCTAGGGCAAAACCAGTAAATAATACAACAGGAACGCTAAGACAAAGTTGTAAAGAGAGGAAGACGCAATTCTAGGAAGAAGCGCGCTGTGATACCGTTTCTTCCCATTACTGAGATGAGCAGATTGAAGTTTTTTGACAAGATTTAGGTATTTTGCACAGAAGTAGTGTAGACGATCGCCAGGGAGTGTTTTCAAGCCAACGGGTCAACGATTTCGAGGAAATCAACTGAGAAGCCTCTGAAAGCTGATGGCATCGAACCTGGCGTTTGCGGGCACCAACGAGATGAATTTCTGCACAAATGATGACAGCTCCCGTCAATAAGATGGTTTGTGTAGTCAAGTATGACTAGGGTGCACTTGGTATTGATCATATGCGTCTTTTTCAAAAAATTTATTAGACAGATGAATTTAACATTTAAAAAAAATAAAAAAATCTCTAGTCCTGCTTGACGGCGACGCCGTAGTTGTTGTCGCAGCCGCCGACGTCCTCCTCGTTGTCCGACGCGTCGACATTCGGCTAAAAAGTGGCATTACATAGAAATCAGTAGGTATTTTCTATAATGAAAACCAAGAGGAAGTTCTAAAAGTAGGAAAACACAACTAGAAACATGGTTTTTTTTGCAGCGCGGACATTTTTTCGCTGTTTTGAGAGGAAAGCGGCGGAAGAAAGGAGAGAATCGCAAGAACTCACGTCAGCGGGATGGTGGAGGCGACGAGGAGGGCGTTGGCGCTGTTGCTGGTGCTGCTGGTGCTGTTGCTGAGCGGGCGGGGTGATGGCGATAACCTACAATTTAACAAAAGTTTTAGTGGAAAAGGCTGGCCCACCGATTCCTGGCTGTCCGTATCCAGAACGATGGTCGAGTGGCTGGTGTCAGAGGAGAGCACAATGTAGTCTTGCTCAGACATTTTCTGGAAACGAACGGGTTTTCTCGGGATTTTCTGGCAAAAGATGCGGCCGAAACTGAATATGTAGAATAAGTTTCGCAAAAGGTAAATAACAGCACAAGTCACATCTTAGAGCTGTTTATTGCGCAAGAAACGAGATTTAGCCCTTCGGTTGCTACACGTCTGAAACCTTTTAGGCACGACTTTTTAAATGCGTTGGAGGCAATGAGCTGCGAAGCCCCTGTTTTGGCGTTTTGCACGGATGAGATGCATTGGCGCAAATGATGCTATCGGCTGTCAAATAGATGCTGTGCTAGTGGAGTATGGCTAGGATGAGCCTTGACTGGATAAGATAAGGTATGCGTGAAAATGTTTTAGCCCAGATTATAGGAAACGCAAGGCCAGTGAGGAGTCAGGTGGTGATTGTCGTAGCCGTAGCGTTGTCGTTGTCGTAGCTGTAGAGGCTCAGCCGCGCAACGCTTGGTTAAAAAAGTAATTTCTAGGACAAACCCAGCAAGTATTGGCCATAATATAACCGGAACGCTACGTGGAAAGTTTTAAAGAGAGGAAGACGCAATCCCAAAGCGATACTTTTTCAGTGACGATGTTTTTGACGCCCTTTTGAGAGCAAAACTGCGGAAGCGAGCGTATAATCGAAAGAATTAACAGGACTAGCCGATACGCAGAAAACTTTGGTAAATAAGCAACGGGCGATTAAAACAAGGCGCTGTTCCTTGGGGAACAAGTAGGCTGTGAGACCCCTCATTTTATTGAGGTGAGCAAATTTCAGTTTTTTTTACAAAATTCAGGTATTTTGCACTGAACACTTGCAGACGATCTCCAAGAAGTAATTTCAAGCCAACGCATCAACTTTTTGCAGGAAATGAACTGAGAGGCCGCTGTTTTGACACATGATGTCGTCGAAGCTGGCATATTCGCCCACGAGCGAGATGAATTTCTACACAAATGATGAGAGCTGCCGTCAATTAGATGGTTTGTGTAGTCAAGTATAGCTCGGGTGTGTTTTGTATTGATCATACGCGTCTTAATCAACACTGTTTATTCAATTCAACTGTAACTTAAATTAACAACAAAAAAAACTGAAAGTTAGGGTGGCCGGGGGCCATGTCGTGAGCGCGCAGCTAAGGCTCGTCAGGCTCCTCCACATCACTCTCTTCAATGTTTGGCTGAAAAAGTCGAATTAAGATAAAACCGGTAGGTAAACCAACTTTTCTAAAGACCCAATTTTTGTAATATAAACTAGTACAGTTTCTAAGCTGTCTTTACTATTTCTAAACGTAAAAACCTTATAGATTTTCATCAAAAAATACAAAAGCGCTTTCTCGACTAAATATTTTTGTGTTTTAAATTGTTTTTCCACTTGAAAGATAGTTAAATTTTACTACCAGCTCAATTAAAACGCTTACTACGTGGGTATTTTTCTTTACCCGCTACCCCCCCGATAATGTTAAAACACCGTGGCGGAAAAGGGCAAAGAATCAGGAAAAACTCACGTCGACTTGATGTGGAGATGGATGGGCGGCCGAGGGTTGGTGAGCGAGCTCGGGCTCAATGACGATAACCTGCAAATTTGTTTCAAGGAAAATGGGCTTTAACGCACCGACTGGTCCGAGTCAGAGATGACAATTGTCGATATGTCGGAGTCGGAAGTCTCTGAATCACTGCCGATGGTCAAGTACACGGGCGACGGCATATTTCTGAAAATGAATAAATTTTGAGTAAAATAAAATGCGATCCAAAGCGGAACAGTTCGAAGCATTTGCAAATAAGCAACATCAGTAACAATCAGGGACGTAGCGTAATACAGGCCCCGGGGGGGCCGGGGCCCCCCCCGAAATCGGCCGGGGCCCGAAAATTTCATAAGGGGGGACCCTTATGATTTTTATTTTCTCAAAAATTTTGCTGCCTGCGGCGCTATTTTTTCACGTTTTTACGGCTATTTGTAGAGCTATGCAACCTTCTTTTCAAAAATTTTTGCCTGCGGCGCTGTTTTTTCGGCTATGTTTTGAGTTTTTTGGAAAAATTTTTTGGGGGCCCCCCCCCCGAAATTTTTTTTCTGGCTACGCCCCTGGTAACAATTTAGCCGTGTTTTTAGGGAAGAAACGGGCATAATACACTATGCGCCATCGCGGTGTTCCTCAATAATTCGGAATTAGTACGCGGAGCTGCTATGCATGCTACTGTCCATGGACGGTGTGACTCGTATTTTCCAAGCGAAATCCCAATTTTCGTGGTTCTATCAACCGCATAGCGCGTAATTTTGGTTTAGATAAATCGAAAGACAAATTCGAAGAAACCGGTTGAAAAATTGCCCATTTGATTTTAAGAAGCGGAATTCAAAACTCGACTCTGGGACTTGTTTTTGCAATAAGGCTTTGAAGTTCATTACTTGCATTAAATGTTTCTGACTAACTTTGAAGGGCTCTGGGTCAATATCTAGGTTTTCTGACTCGTTTTTCACAAGATTTTAGGTATTTTGCACCGACGAAGCGCAGGTGATCATCAAGTAGTGCCAAGCCGGCGCGCCAATTTTGGAGGAACTGCTGTAGGGCCGCTGTTTTGCGGCGTGATGGCGTCGGAAGCTGGCATCTAGCAGGTATGAATTTTGACAAATTCCTGCGGGCTGCTGTCAATTATATGGCCTGTGTAGTCAAGTAAGGCTCGGGTGCGCTTTGTGTATCGAGCAATATTATTTATTACAAAGAATCTTTATTACTGAAGTCCCAATTCCATGATAAAAAAGAATTTAGATCGGCGGCTTGTTGTCGTCGTCGTGGCCGTTGTGGTGGTGGTGGTGGTGGTGGTGGTGGTTGTCGTTGTGGTTGTCGTGGCCGCCGAGATCCGTCTCCTCGTCGGCGCTCAGGTCGAGATTGATCTAAAAAGTGGCATTGCATCAAATCAGTAGGCATTTGCTATAATGAAAATCACGAGAAAAGTTCTAAAGATGGGAAAACACAACTAGAAACATTGGTTTTTTTCAGCGCGCACGGAAGAACGGGAGCGAAACTCACGTCGCCCGGGTGGTGGCGGCGAGCCTGAAGCGGGCGCTGCTGCTGCTGCTGCTGGTGGTGGTGGTGCTGTTGCTGCGTCGGTTGCTGTTGCTGCCGACGGGGGCGCGGCGGCGGCGGCGACAAAACAGTCACCTTCAATTTTGACAAAAATTTTAGCAAAAAAATGCTTTGACCTACCGATGAGTCGCTCGACACCGTGATGGTGCTGTGGTCAGACGAGAGGATAATACAGTCCTCTGAAGACATGATGCTGTAAATGAACGGGTTTTCTAGAGATTTTGTGCCAAAAGATGCGACCGGAACTGAATATGCAGAACAAGTTTCGTAAATGGTAAATTTCAGAGTCGTAACTTAGCGCTGGTTATTGCCGGAAGAAACGAGGTGTAGATGCTTCAGATTCTCGAGTTGTTTCTCACCTAACCGTTTAGGCACGGCTTTTCAAACTTAGAAATGGCGAAAAAAGCAGCAAACTCTGTGTCGAGCACAAGTTTTAGCTCCTGATTTTCTATTTTAACCTTTTCAGTCAACAACGTGCTTGTCGTAATGCCCGGAAGAGGTCAGCCGCGACCCGAACGCGTCGCGTGAGGTTCGGAATTCGACGTTAAAGCATCGTAGGTGCGTTGTAGATAGATTCTGAGCGTTTTTGGAAGGATTACGACGCAGACTTTTCAGGATTAATTATGCGTATCGACCAACATCTTATATCGGAGCGTTGAAACGAAAAAGTGGGGGCCAGCCATCGAAGGGCCCCGCTATACCCAATGCGCCAGATAACTCAATGGTTGCGTTCTTGCGCGCCGTGCACAAGACCCGGGTTCGGATCCTGCCCGCGTAAAATCTTTTTGCTTTTTTGTCAAAAGCTGCGTCTACAAGAGTTTTACACGTTTCAGTTTCTACCATACCAAATTGAAGCGTTTTTGGATCTGCAAACTATTCTTTCGAATCGTTATGTCTTAATCAGGCATTTCCCATAGCCTAATGGCTGCATTTCGCGCGCCGCGCACAACATCCGCGTTCGGATCCCGCCCGGGGAAAACTTTTTTATCAAAAGCAAGGCTTTGACTGTTTTTACGGGTTACCTGCCACAATATTAAGGCACCATCTTACTGTAATCTAAAACCCGATTTTTCTAGCAGTCGCACTTTTCTCTCTTGAACGCCGCGCACAAGATCCGGGGTCGGACCCTGCCCGCAGAAAATTTTTTTTTGCCAGAGGCCAGGATTTTACTGTTATTATATGCTTCGCAGCGAAAATGCCAAATCCAGCTTTTACCCCCTCCTAAACGCTTTTTCCATTATCCGTCGATTTTTGGCACCCTGTTCACCCATAACCAATTATTCATCGGGGGTGTTATACGTTAGCTATGCGGGGTGGGTGAAATCAATCAGTGTTTTCCTCACCCGGCGCCGGAGTGCCGAGATGCATGAGTGTGTCTGGGCGATGTGGCTGAGATCGAGCAGTTGGGGGATGGGCAAAAGGGGAAGGGGGAGGGCTGTCTCAAAAGAGAGAGAGAGAGAGAGAGAGAGAGAGAGAAAGAGAGAGAGAGAGCGAGAGTGAGAGAGAAGGAGCATTAGCAAAGTGGGAGGTGTCTATTTAGGTGGTTATGGTAGTCGTACGAATCAGGGGGTCGAGGGGGCGGGGCTTGGGCTTTGGAGGGTTGGGGGAAGGGCGATGGGGGCAACGCATGGCTGATAGTCATTTGGAGTGCCCCGTCGTGTGATTTATTAGGTGCCGCCCGGGGGGAGGAGGGCCCTCTTCTTCTAACCACTTCACCCATCATTATCCACCATCATTTACGCTAATTGGTGTCATCAAAACAGCGAATTGTTGCTGATATTTGGGTGGATTGTTGCTGCTAGCTACAGATTTTAGGGATTTTTAACACTACTAATGCGGGGTTTGAAGTTTAGATGTTCTTAATCCGCAATTTTTTATATTTCTAGCTAGTTAATTTAGTTTAATTGGCTATTTTGTACACAGTAGGCGGATTTTAGACATTTCCTGCAGATATTTTGCCTTTCAAATGGTTTTGATCTTTAATTTGACACTGAAAAAAGGCTCTTTTGACAATTTTATAGCATTTTCAACGCTTTTGTGCTTGTTAATTTAGCTAGCGAATTACACTACTATTTAAAAAATGTTCTAAAACAAATTTTAGCGCTTTTCCGCGTTAGCAATTCTCTCTAAGAAGAATTACCTCTGAAAATTCACTGCCCTTTTCAATCTGATTTTTTCTATTTCCCCCATAAATCTCCGTTTTTTTCCAGATGAGTTGTGCCGATAGCTATTCCGGTTATTACCCGCCGGACTGGCCGTACGGTTATTCCAACGGCAATGTTCAGCCACCACCTCCATACCCCAGTCCGCCGTCAGGTAGATGATCAGAAAAATGTTAGAAGGATCTTTAAACGAGCCATTAAAATATTTTTACAACATTAATTTTCAGGATCAGAAGCCTGGCTGCCAAATTCGCATTTCCCGCCGCAGGGCGCTTCGGGCAACTTGGCGCCCCTTGCCAATACTTATAAATGGATGCATACAAAGCGGACGGTGAAGCCAGGTAGGTTATAAGAATTAAATAAGTCGTTATTAAATGCTTTTAAAGTAATCTCTCGATTATTTTTACCGCTTTTTTACCGCTACATCTCTCAAATTCAGAATATTCCTTTTTTTACGGGCCATAAAAATGTATATCAAATATTTTGATTAATTTATCTCTCTCTCTCTCTCTCTCTCTCTCTCTCTCTCTCTCTTTCTCTCTCTCCCTTCCATGTTCAGTTGTTTCCCATGCCGATCGTCCTTTGATAAATCGGTGCCGATGCATCTTGTGACCAACCCCCGGGCCCCCGAATTTGCATTTTGGCCGCTTGGGCAGTCTGTTCATTTGTCAGTCTCCCATGGGGGCTGATCAAGTGACTGGGAACCAGCCTTGTCCACTCTATTGTTTCACTAATTCGTTGTCGTTGGGAAATTTTTCAACTAAAAACCGCGTGTTTTCGAGAGCTAGGTATATGCCTAAAAATTGTTGGAACTCAGTATTTGGATTCCACTAGGATCCAGCTATCATTAATGCATAAAGCCAGTTGCTAAAGGGATTCCCAAGGCATAATTTTGCATTTTTGACCATGGAATCTTTCCAAAATTTGCGACCATAAAAAGTAGTTGCGTACGTTGCTAGCTTTTCACGTCTGGCGTAATTTTGTACTTTTGCCACATTTTTATAGCAGTAGCATAACAATAGAAAAAAAAATGCCATGGCGTAATTTATTCCGACCCGTTCAAGCTGGTCAAGGAAATCCACTTTACTTGTTACGGCGTCACCCCATAGACAACAAAATAAATGTTCATGCTTGGTTCATGCTTGTGCTCATGCTCCTGCTCTTTCGGCCTCGGCCTCCTGAGCATCACCTAAATCTACCCATTATCAGTCAGCTGAAAACTCCATTTCATTCCTATTTCCACCCCAAACCCATATAAATTATCAGCCAATCCCATTAATTAATGTTGTGGGGCAGCCGGGTGTTAGAGAGAGAGAGAGAGAGAGAGAGAGAGAGAGCGAGAGTGAGAGAGTATCTGAGAAGCAGAGGGGTTGTAAAACCGGCAGGAAGCGGAGAGGGCCTGGGCTAAACGGTGTGGTGGAAGTGAATGGGCCGGTTGGGGGGGTCTCTACCAGGTGATCGATGATGATTGGAGGCCCAGGTGACGTGCCGAGTGGCCTCGTGTGTCCTCCACCTTTTCGGGGGTCTTTTTCAAGGAGGTACACCTGGAATTCCGACAGGCTCAATTTGGTAGGGGACAGTTTGGGGCGTGGAGCAGGTTTTTGAATGAGTGTAAGGTTTAAATAAATATCAGAAGCTTGGGAATAGTGAAATAAGTTTGGAAATTAGGTTATTAGTCTAAATTTTGATGAATAGGCGTTTTTACACGCTTTTTTGAGCCTTCCAAGTGTCTTAAATTTGAGCTTGTCAGTATTGGCGTAGGTTTAGGCTTAGGCTTGGCCTACGCTTAGCCTTTGCTTGGACTTAGCTAAGGCTTAGCTTTGTCTCAGACTTGCGGTTTCTGCTTAACTTATGCTTACTAAGCGCTTAGCTTAGGTTTCTGGCTTAGCTCAGGCTCAGCTTTATAAGCTTCGAATCCAAATCCCTGCTTCCGGAAGCATTTTTCTCTATGAATTGAGAAGATCTTGACTTCACAAGCCCTTTAATAAGCCCATAGCTCTTCCTTTTCTCCTCCAGAACACACCGATTCCGCTCCCAAATAACAGCCCATCCTTCATTGTCACGCCAAAAACTTCGACATCCCCCTCCCGCTCCCAGCTTTTGAGCAGGACCACCCAGCTGGTCCTCCCCACCCCGCTTTCGGCCTCCCCCCACTTTATTCACCGGCTTATGCCCCCCGAGCCATTGGATGAGTAGTCCAGAATGGAACATGGAGAAGGGCACCCACACACCGGGATGCGCAACTGAGAGAAAAGGGGGTTTTGAAGGCAAGCAACGGCGCTACCGTATCCATTTCAAAAGAAGAGCGCCCTCCTCTCCCCCCTTTTCCTCTTGATTGACACCTCGGTGAGCACGGGCCCGGGGAAACCCAGGGGAACCGACCGACCTCCAACACGCTATCATCTGGTCCGGCCCATCTCCTTCACTCCGCACCGGGTGGCGGCGCTGAACCATACCCAAAAAAGGCTGGGAGTGGGAGTGATTGAGTGAATTTAGGGTTTTTTGATAGGGTAGATGGCAAAGGAACCTAGGCTTGAATATAGGTGCATTTTAATAGCTCGAAAACATGCTCAGATCGTCTTCCGAAACTCCAAAACTCAGAAATACGTCAAACAGAGGCTGGGGTGTCGAGACTTGTAGAACTCGATCTTTTGATAGTGCAGTAGATTCCACAAGGCTTCTTAAACAGTGCAGCGCATCTTAGAACCAAGCCAAGATGTAAATAAATTTTTTAACCTAAAAAAACTTTTTTGCCGAAATTTTCGAATTAAAAGCTCCAGTTTGACTCGTACCTCTCTTTTTTCAGAGAAAACCAGGGTTGAAAAGCCGCTTCGCGACTTTTCAACCCTGGCCCCGTCTGACCCCGTTTTATCCTTCACTTTGCATAATTTTCCTGAATTCAGATGACAAAAAAAGGAAAAACTACTTGTTGAGCTCCTTTATGTAGTCGAATCCCCACTTCCGGTCTACGCTAATTGTTCCTAACAAAGAGGTTTTTACAAAAACTTAAATTTAATGTCGAAAATAGGTGAATTTGTTAAATCTGATATGCGTGCAGTCATCTCCAGGCCATTACGCATCTAATGACGTATCATATATACCTTAAAATTCCTCCCCTATCGAGATATCCTCCGGACAGACATCCGGAAGTGGATGCAAAGTGGCACACACAGACACACACACACAGACACTATTTTTTTATATATAGTAGGATAACTCTGATTTTTTTTGTTTGATCATGAAACCCTTTAAAAACGTTAGTAACATACTTTAAGACATTTAAATACCTTTAAAGACATTTTCAGGCCGCCCAGTCCATTTTTAAGCCTACAAAATTGTAAAGTTAGATTTTTTCCTAAAGCCCAAAAAAAAACTGCTTACGACATGAATATCCCACATTTTGATGGTATAAAAATTCTTAGCAACTTTTTTCAGCCCCCAAAAAGAAGGTGATCGACCCCGACAACCAGAACCGCACCAACTTCTCCACCCACCAACTCACCGAGCTCGAAAAGGAGTTCCACACCGCCAAATATGTAAATCGATCCCGGAGAACGGAGATCGCCAACTCGTTGAAGCTGAATGAGGCCCAGGTATCGAAAACTACGGTGTAAAAATGGGATTTTTCTCTATAGGTGAAAATCTGGTTTCAAAACCGGCGGATGAAGGAGAAGAAGCGGGAAAAGGAGAAGGCGTTTTTGGCGAAAAGTGGTGGGTTTTAGAAAGTTGCTAGGTTTCCTAATGAATCACTGCTAGTTTGCCCTAAAAAATAAGGCTAAACTATTTTAATTATCAAAATTCCAGAAATTGCCAGCGGACAGTGGAGCCCCGAAAATCAACCTCCCTCCTCCGCCTCCTCAACCAGCACAAAAAGTTCGCCCTCCGACGCGAAACCATGTAATCTATAGTTAGAACTTTTTATTGTTTTTATTTAGCTTCTCCTTGCTATTTTCCATTTTTTAAACCGATTTTGTTGCCTATTCCAATCGGCAATCCATTGACAGCCCTCAACCCTTCCAATCCCCCCCCAAACACTCCGAAACGGGTTCCACAAGATCCACTGATAAGTGGCTCCCTCTCTAATTCCCCCTCTCTATCTCTCTTTATCTATCTATATCTCGTGCTCCCCCCGCCGATCCGTTACTGTAGACCAATTTGACGAATATTAGTGGTGACACCTCCCGCGATACGGTACATAAATGTTTGCTCGGCTCTGAGATGGATTTGCCCGTTTTTCATCACCCCCCAAGGACGTCCCGTTTTTGTGCCGGTAGACGTTTTTCCGGTCTCCCATGAAATCCCGAGAATTCCGCAACGTCTGGGGGGTGCAGTTAAAGGGGTTGGAAAATCTGAGAATTTTCGTCGAGTTTCAGAACCTTGGCTTCAATGCCCCTTTAAAACCTGGAAAGCTAAGCCTAAGCGAAGTCTAAGCGAAGCCCAAGCCTAAGCTTAAGCCAAACCTAAGCCCAAGCGAAAAATCATGACTTCCAAGCCCCTTTAAACCCTTCTTAACCCTGTTGTGCTGTGACGGTTTTTTATAGTGGCTCTCACCTGTAGTAAGCTGAAAATTACACCCGGACTTAACTGGAGACTTCAAACCAAAACTCTTGATCATCATCAAAAACCCCGATAACCCTCGCTCTCATAGATCTAATTCGTGTGATTCGGTTGCATTTTCTTCTTCTTGCATTTCGTGTGAGTTTTGATTGTTTTTATGTGTTTTGTAAGAGGAAGATGTGAATAAATTTGAATTAAGAGAAACTTAACTGGAATTTGACAAGGACATAGTGATCGACAGCTTTTGAAGCTTAAGCCAAACCAACACCTAAGCCTGAAACAAAGTCAAGCCCGGATCCAAGCCTAAACCTAACTCGAAGCCAAGCCCAAGACTAAATCAAGTATAAGCCGCAACCCAACTCAAAACTGAGCCATTAGCCTACCTAAGCCTTAGCCTAGCTTAACCTAAGCCTAAAGCAAGCTTAAGTCGAAGCCTAAGCCCAAGCCTAGAACAGGCCTAAGCCAAGCATATGCCTAATCCGAAGCCAAGCCCAAAAAGACGAAAAACAAGTTTTTTCGCTCCCTTCGATCACAATTACCTACCACCAACCACGCTACACATCAAATTACGGACCAGTTTACCGGGTCGCCATCTACGCGTCTAGCCGGATTATGCCCATAGCCAAAGCCCAAGGATGAGCTACGGTAATCGATCACTGTCGTGGCTTTGTTTGGGGGCAGCAGGACAGCATATAGAATGGCGGTCCGTTTGTGGATGCCGGGGGCTTTGGGAGGCCAAAGAAAGCGGGGGAAAGAAGAAGGGGGGATACACCGTATGGTTATGCAAGATGACCACAATATGGCCATCCGAAAGCGGAGAGAGAGAGAGAGAGAGAGAGAGAGAGCCGACCGATAATATTTTTGTGGGGGCAAATCATCACACTGTGAGTAGTTGAGGTGGGTTGGTTGGCCTTTGCGGCAAATTACGGTATGGTGTGGGTAGGTGTATTATGGAAAATGAGGGCTGGCCGGCTAGCAGGAATTCTTTAGGAATTTCTGGTTAATCTAGAATTTTCCCTTTTGCTTCAAAACGTTTAAAACTTTAAACCTTTTTACAATTTTCTGCCGTTTTAAAACTTTCTAGCTCAGATTTTCCACAACACTACAAACAACAGGGTTACGGTAAGACAAAAGCCGCTTTCTAAATTTATATCCTATATCTTAGTTTTAGAAACGTTACTAGTTATCTAGGGATTATTACGTACTTTTGGAACCTAAATAAAGCTCAAAACGTGGTTTTACGAGAAAATAATTTTTAAAAATTTCCTTGATCCCATTTTTCCGCTAAAATACAAACAACAAAGCCTCCTAATCAGCCAACCAATAAATTAAGGATCTGCAAGAGTGTACATAGGTGCGGCACGTCCATCGACAACCTCCAAGCACCCCAAACACACCACCCTCGATTTATGCGACGATAAAGATCCGGGGGAATACACTCGACGACCCCGGCCGGCACCCCCAAATGATTTATTAGCTGTCCTTCCTGTCCTCTTCCTCCTCTTCCACCTCCTCCTCCTCCTCCTCTCCGGGCTCCGATTATGCACTCCCGTAACCCCAGCAGGGTTCCGAACAACTAAACTTGGGGGGATTAGTATCATTGCGTAGTTAAGGGGGATGGGGGATAGTTGCGAGTTGAAATTTTTCGGGGCTTTCCGGCCCATCCGGGATAAAGATTTGCAACCCGGGCAACTTGATGGGTTGTCAGCGTATGGGGTGTGGTTTTTCACGGATCCGGGAATTTCCGGGGGGGCATCGGGGTGCGAATTTGGAAAGTTCAAGGGTACTACGTCTGGGAGGGGGAGTGGAATTTGGAGTGAAACGTACCGTAAAATTACAGATTTAAGCACAAGCTCAAGCTTATGCTTCGTGGGCTTACGCTCAGCTTGTCTCAGACTGCAACTTGCTCAGGCTTTGCTTAGCTATGAGCCTACGTATTAACTTGGCTTCAGATTCGTATTAGGCTTCGGCTTAGGCTTAGGATCAGGCTCAGGATCAGGCTCAGCTTAGGTTTAGCTTATCGGGCTTAACCTTAGTCTAGCCTCATTCTACTTTGTATTAGGCTTCAGTCTAAGCTTAGGGTAAGGGCTTATCTAGCTCGAGCTCCACTTGAGTTAACTTAAGTTAGGATAAGGCTTTCGCGTTGCCTTTTGCTTGGCTTAGGCTTAAGCGTAGATTAGACTTAGATTAGGCTCATGTGTGCTTCGCTTTGTTTCAGACATCCGGTTTGGGCTTCGGCTTGGCTTAAGCTTAGCGTAGGCTTAGCTTAGGCTTGGTAGAGGGTTAGCTTAGTCTTCGCTTAGGCTTCGCTTAGACCTCGCTTAGCGTTTGCTTGGGCTTCGCTTCAGTTTAGCTTAGGCCGGGCCCCGGCGTAGCTTCGATTTTAAAGGACTGGTGAAGGCAAAAATGGACACATTTTAGTGTCAAAGATAACCCTCTCATTAAGTCATGCTCAACTTCTCGGCTGGTCCTCCGCATTATACCATGATCCTCACTAGATAGCCTCCGGTTACGACCACCTCGTTGGCACCATAAAAGGGCAGCCGCCCGCCCTAGCCGCAGATTGGTGGTGAGTGACGCCGAGGTCTTAATCCGGGGGTATTTCTGAGGATAAGAGAGGGAGTAAGAGAAAGAGTAGAGGGGAAGAGGATGTGATATGGAGGTGTCAGTGGACAGGGGATGTGTATCAGATATAGGGACTGACTAGGGGAAGGGCCCTCCGGGTACAAAGAGAGGCACAGCGGCATCGGCTTTTGATCTTTGAAGGGAGCCGCCACTTGTCCGCTCACCGATACCGCACTCACTATGCATTGCCACGCAGTACAAAAGGATGATTGAGGGAGTTAGGGGTGGATTTGGGGGTTATTAAGGATTTAGAGAGTAAACGATTGAATATCTTAAAATTAAAGCTTAAAAAGGTGAAAATATGCTGAAAATCTCTAGAAAAAACATTCTTATTTCCAAGGAATTCTGGTTACGATTGTCCTTTCCACAGTAATTTAGCAAATAGCTTTTAAAGGACCAAGCAAGGCCGGTTTATGGATTTTTGTAAAGGATTTCCTATAGATTTTGTCGCAACCACAACACGAGCCTGAGAGCACGAGTGAGCCTGAGCACGAGACTCGAGCTGCGACGCGCGCCGCTAGTATGCCCTTAGGATACCAGAACACCTTACGCCGCGGAAAAATCTACTTATGCGTCGTGTGTCACGTGAATTGTGTGTCCAGAAAATCTATGGCCATGCCTTGCGCGTCCCTTTAATGCATAAATGCATCGAATTCGGAAATTATTTTCTAGGTAAAAATCTCTAGTGTCAATTTCATTGGATTTTTATAGCCAATTTACATACACAGCTCTTGTTTGATGTGCTCAAATGCAGAAAAGGCCTGGTCAGTTCAAAACGATGGCCAATCCTTCCGGAGACTACCCAAATACTTCCACATCAACGTCCGCTACATCGATCGGGGAGCCGGAGCTGATCGTGCTGCTGTATCGAAACCAGGTCCAAACCACCACGCAGGAATTCCTTACACCCAATATCGCACCTAATTGAGACTTCCGCTTCCTGTTATTTTGTCTTTTTTGAAACCGAATTAGTCAATTACGAGCCCGGTTTTGTTATAGAGGATCCAGTTGACGCCCGACCAGCAGATGCGTCTCCTCGCCTTCCTCGCCCGCCTCCGTGACTACTTCATCGCTATCGGCTTGTATCATTTTCGTTTTGGGACCAGGGAGCTTAAAATTTTGTTTCTAGGAATAGGCCGGTCGACACCATCCTCGCCTTCGTCATCATCATGATCATCATTTGCGCAATAATTATTACGATGATAATACAGTTTGGCGATAAATGAAAATTTTGAAGTGTTTCCGCCAGCTTATGAATTTTTAAGCAGAGGAAAAAATAGCTAAAAACTGTATCGCTAAAGCTACGGTATTGGTTCCATAATGGTTTCGCCTACACGTGATGCACAAAGCGTTTCTAATTTACATACACAACACTTGAGTAATTTCCCTGGAACATAAGAACAAAAATTTGGCACTCCTCCAAATTCATCATGGCGGCCCAGCCTTCCGATTCGGTTTCAAATACCGACACCTCGTCTACCGCCGCGTCCATCTCGGAGCCGACGATGAACAACCAGCCCCAGCCTGCCGATCTCCG